GAACACTTCTCTGATGTTGTCTTGTGTGATGTGACCAAATTCTTTTTGCAGGAAATTCAATCACATCTGTGAACAAACCAGGTTCAAGAACTGAACATCAAGGGGACATACAGGCAGATTGGAGCACTGGAGGCAGGGACGCTGCAGTTAAGAATTCTGAACACCAACACATTAAGGGCATTTTTACAGTCCCCCTAAGCAATGCTGAGTCTCTGGTCAGTTCTGTTGTGTGACTTTTCCTTTTGTGGAGTTTATTCCCAGGCAGCCTCTGGCCACAGCCATCCTCCTGGTGAGTGGTAGGAGCAGCTGGCTGAGGCCTCCTGCCAGGTGCACAGCTGCCCCACCCATGGAGGTGGGGTAGTGCAGGTTTGCTCTTTTTGTACTGCTTATCCCATACTGCTTTTCCATAACTGCAGTTAAAATGGAAATCTCTTTTCAGGAAAAATTTCACAGGAAAAAGAGGAAGTTTAATCAGAAGCATTCTGCTTAAGAAAAGGGAGAGTAAGTTTACAGCCTACAGGATGTACAGAATACAACGCTGTTGAGGAAACCATACCTTTTATATATTTTTAATGGGTTTGGTGCTTATCTGATAAGATTTAAATATTACAAACTGTAGCACAAATAATATAATTTGCAAATTTACTAAAATCGGGGATAGTATGATATCTGAAAGAATGAGCATATGTTTCTATTTGTTAAAACAATCATCAAATGTCCACAACAGCTAACCCTGGACATGACTTTCAGGTTAGCAGCTCCTTTCTAAAGTGTGTGAGTTGCGTCCGCTATCCTCAATGCAGGGCTGGCAGGTCCTTTTGTGGAGGGAGGATGAGGTTGCCAGCCCTGTGAGATCCCCCTGCAGCTGGGTGGGTCTGGGGCCACTGCTTCCTGATCCCTTTCCTCCTCTGTTAGGTTTGCCATGTCATCTGGAATAATACTTGAAATTTTGGTTTTTGTTAAAAAAAAAAAAAAAAAAAGAAAAAGTTTTTTTATCTTTTGTCGAAATCACCTGTTAAGTTTGTTTGCAAACTGGTAACTTTTTTGCTTCTTCTCAGGAATACAATTTTCAACTGTTGTCTTGCTCTTGATACAGATTGAGAGGCAGCATTCTGTATTTGTGGGAGAAAGTTCTCTTTTTTGATTCTAATAAACAAGCTGTGTTTGTTTCTCCTCTCTGTGTGGGGTTCTGTGTGGGGCTGCCCTGTGTTCCCCATCTTGATGGAGATAGGCTCCATGAAGATTTGCTAGTTCTTACTGCTTATCCCATTTATTGCCTTCTGGTCCATCTGTGGCTCTACCAGCAGACTAACTGACCACTTGGAGTGAGCTCACTTCTGGAGTCACACAGGACCTGAGGTTGGGCCTAAGCATCAAGGAAAACAGCAGAGAGTCTCTTTACCCTTGCCAGCCCCAGGAGCCACAGCCTTTTGTCCAGTGTGGGTACTTTATTTTCAGCTGGGTAGGGAAACCTGCCATGGTCTGTGCTATAGAGATGGACCACACCTACTCCCAGGGATTAAGATGAAAATGCCAACCTTATAGAGGATGCAAAACAATTTTTTTTTAATGCTGCTGTGACTCAGACCCAAGGCAGTTGCACAGAAGGCAAGTGATTTACCACCAAGTTGCCCCTGAACCCTACAGCAAGCAGTTCTTCATGCCCAGGGTGAAGTGGGACCAGTACCTTTGCTCTGGTCTCACTGGACCAAGGTGGGAGCACTGAGCTTTACTCAGTCCACTAAAGAACTGGACACCCAGGGGCTGGGGTTGTAGCTCAGCGGTAGAGCGCTCACCTAGCACATGCAAAGCCCTGGGTTCGATCCTCAGCACCACATAGAAATAAATAAAATAAAGGTATTGTGTCCAACTACAACTAAAAATAAATAAGTAACTGGACATCTGGTCCACACTGAAGGGACTCCAGTAGACTTCTGGTGAGCATGTGACAGAACAAAGCTTGCATCCTGCTCTAACTTGAGGGACCCTCAGGCCAGCATGGTCATTTCCGTGGTGTGACCTGAGCTGTTTAGAGAGGCAGGTGGGCAGGGCTCATGCAGTGTTTATATGTTTTTCTGAATTTCTCTTAAAAGACCCATCCACCTTACACTAAAAATCACAAAATCTTCAATTGCATGGAGCCTTGCTGACCCTGGGGTGAATGTGCGGGTATCCTCACAGGCTTGCCTTGCAGGGGGGTGGCCATGTAGCCGCTGCAGATGCCCAATGCTTCTGTGTGGCTCTTCAGCCCAGTCTTGGAGCAGACTCAGAGCTAGGCCTCAGCTGTCCACTACCCTCCTGTGCTCCTGGTGCCAGTAAGGTCACCCCATTCTCCCAGTGACCCTGCCCAGTGCTAGGTGAGTGCTGCCTACCTCAGCTGCACACCCTCCAGTGTGCTATCCGGAGGGCCCTTCCTGGTCTGAAGGGTCTGAGCTTCAAGTCAGAGGAAGCAGGCCTCAGGGGCTGTGGGCCTGGAAGGGTTTCTGTTAGCTGGGGGACCCTGGTGACAGTCTATCCCTTGTTTTGGTCTGGCAACCCAGGAAGGGGTAACACTGCTCTTCTCAGTCTGTAGCTGGGCTCAGAAGAGACCCAGAATCTGGGTCTCCAGAAGCTTTGCAGTAGAAAACTAGACTCTCAGGAGAAAGAAAGCAAAAAGAGGAATTTGCTGAATTCAGAATGCCCAGAATAGATTTGATTTCAAGTGTGGCTTGATGGAGGAAACTGAACCTTGTCCCTAGAACCATCTTCTCCCTCTGCCCTCTCCACTTTGGCTCCACTTTGGCACGAACAGGAGTTGCTTTTCTCCCTGAGGTTGTCCTGGCTATAGAGAGGCTGGGTCTTGCTTTCCTGAGGACAAAGGCTCATGTGGGGGGCAAGGCCCAGTCCTGTGGGCAGCAGCATAGGTGAATCCAGGTGATTTGGCAGGGCCGCCTCCCAGGAGCCAGTGCCACCGAACACAGCCAGTGCTTTAGAAATCATATGAACTTAGAACTAAATCAGTTGTATTTAAGAAAGGTAATAAGCACTTGGCCTCACCACTTCCTAGTTGGGGGCTGGAATGTCTGCATATGACCAAAGGGTTTGTAGGAAGATGTGCAGCTCTGCAAGCTTTCTGAAGTAATCACTGAGTTGTATGCAGGGCACATTTTGTGGTATGTAAGCTATGTCAGATCAGGCGAGGCAGGCAGCGGCCAAAGGAGGCAGATTTAAAAGGGCCGCTGAACAAGGCTTTATTGAGATATCACTCCCGGGCGAACTCGATCAGACCCACAGAGTGGACAGGGGAAGGGTCTGAGGAGAAACTGCATGGAAGCTCAACCAAACTGGACTTTTATGGGGCTTACAGCAGGAAGGGAAGGGCTTGGGACAGGAAAAGGTGTTTTTAGGGTCCTTTGCCCCCTTGGAGTTGGTCAGGAGAATTGGCTGAACTCCAGGATTGGCCAGGGGGTCCTGCTGATTGACAGGCGTTAGTCAGGAGATCTGGCTGATTGACAGGCATTTCCTCCGGCATCTGATTGATGTTCTTCCACCCCCCCCCCCCCCCCCCCCCCCCCCCCCCCCCGCTGGCTGCTTTGTTCTAAGTTGCTACTAAGTCACCACCACCGACCTAACAAGCGATACCTTAATAATGCTGCAAAAAGTTTTCCTTAGGGCTGGGGATGTAACCCAGTGGTAGAGGCTTGTCTGGCATATGCAAGACTCTGGGTTCTGTCCCCAGCACTATCAAAAAAAAAAAATCAGTATTTTTTTCCATGTGGACATGGCTATCAATTTAACATAATTTGGTTAGGGTTAGAGTGTTTTCTTTTTTAGACTTAGTAATTGTCACATTTTATTTGCTGATTAAGACTTGCCCCAGTTCCCCATACATCTTACTTTACATAGTATAATATACCAGTCAGGAAGCTAACACTAATCTTTTTTTTTAATATTTGTTTTTTAGTTGTAGTTGGACACAATACATTTATTTTATTTATTTATTTTTATGTAGTGCTGAGGATCGAACCCAGGGCCTCACAAGTGCTAGGCGAGCACTCTACCGCTGAACCACAATCTTAGCCCCTGGATTAAGATCACATAGTCTTAAACGAGTTTATAGATCCATGCCGTTTAATGTCACATGCAGATCCATCGACACTATCACGAGATACACATTTCCATGCAAAGACTCTCCCCCACCCCCGCCCCTTGTTACTGCTTTTCTAACCCCATCATTACTAATCCCTGACAACCAGTGGTTTGTTTTCCATTTCTCTAACTTGTCACTCCCACAGTGAACGTATAAGTGGAACCCTCGTTCAGTACAGGCCTTGAGAGCTCTCCCTCGGTGGAATGCCCTTGGAATTCGTGGTGGTCTGTGCCATTCACCGCCCACCTGGCGGACACATTTGGTCGTTTATTTTTGGGGGCAGTTACAAATGATGGTGCTAGGAACAATTATGGGCAGGTTTCTGTGCGGGAACAAGCTTATTTCTCTGAGATAGGTGTCCAGGAATGTGGATGCTGGGCCATATAACTATAATTTGGAGGGGAGGTACTGGGCATGGAACCTTGGACCACTCTACCACTGAGCTACGCCCCCAGTCCTTTTATTTTTTATTTTGAATCAGAATCTCGCTAAGGTGCTCAGGCTGACCTAGAATTTGCCATCCTCCCGAGTCGCGGGGATCACAGACGTGTGCCACCGCGCCCAACCGTGTGTCTAATTTTTTTGAGAAATCGCCGAACCATATTCCAGAGCGGCGGCGCGACCTGTGCCTCCCGCCCGCCACCGACGTCTGCTTGCAGAAAGGCCGACCCTCGCCTCCCGCTTTCCGCTTTCGGGGGGAGCCCAGCGACCGCGGCAGGCACCCGGCCGGCCTTGGGTCTGGCAGGCGGTGACGCAAGCGTGCCACGCCCACCAGAGGCGGAACCCACGCAAGCCACGCCCGCCTACGACTGGGGAGGGGCGGGACGCCGCTATCCCTGACCACGCCACTTCCGCCGGAAGGTTAGTTGTCCGGCTTTCTGTCGGAGTTAGTCCTGCCAGTCTGGAAAAGAGGCAAAAGAGTCGCAGAACCTTAAAGTCTCTTTCCGAAGCCTGCCTCGGTCCTGTGCGGGTCAGCCCAACACCGCTCGGGCCCGAGTGCGGCTGCGAACAGAGAAAGACACTCTTTATTCCGGAACGGAGATCGCGCGCAGGCTGTTTCCGGGGGCTCGAGGCTGTCGCACCGCTGTGCCCCGCCCCTCGCGCGGCCACGTCTAGCCAAAGCTGCAGAGTCGGCGGTGCCGAGTGAGGGCCGCGGGCGGGGTTCGTAGGCGTGAGGGGCGAACGTCCCGGGCAGCATCGGAGCACTGGGGTGAGCGTCTGGGGCTGCGTCGGGGGAGCAAGAGGGCCGTGTCCGGGCAGCATGGGGGCGAGTGTCGGGGGCCTCGTAGGGGAAGCCTGGGGATGAGGGTCTGGGGGCACGTCGGGGGAGCTTGGAGGCGGGGGCCGGGGCGGCCACGAGAGGGGCCGGGGAGGCGCTGGTCAGCGGCGGCCCGCTCCAGTCAACCCTCTGTGTCCCGGCCTGGACACCTCCACTGGTCTCGGCATTGGCTCTATAAACATGGAGGCTCGCCCTACGCCTCTTGAATGCGATCTGCCCAGAAGACGTCTGCTGCTGCCGCTTGCTACTAGGCCAGCGTATTCAAAGTTTGGTCCTTTTACAGCTGATGACAAACGTGACGTGATGGCGGGTACTTCCTCGTTTGCCTCAGTCCTCCGCGGACTTTTTTGATTCTGATGCTCAGGTGTGCTTCACCATTTAGTGCCACGGTCCAGACAGAGAAGGACAAGGCGCTGTCCCCTAGCGTGAGCCAGACCAACAGCTCACTTCTTTGCACAATTGCTTATTAAGTGCCAGTGGAGTAACAAGCCTTGTTGCAGATGTTAGGATATAGTGGTGAGGTCTCTGCCCTTACCCTGCTCACCTTCTAGTGGAGGGACAGGAATATCTAATAGGGCCATTACCAAGAGGATTGGATGGTGGTTGGGTGGAGTGAGCCTTTGGCAGAGATGGTCTCAAGTCCAGACCTCCGTGTCAAGAAGCTACTGTGCAAAATTGTCAGCGAGGCATTTCAGGCAGAATGAATGAGAAATGTGGAGACACTATGGAGAACTAGTTCCGTGTGTCTGGGTGTAGAATGTGGCTGAAACGTATGAAAAAGGAGGAAGGTAGTAAGAGTAAGGGTGTAGAAGTAGGCAGGAGCCACATGGAATGTGGCTTCACAGTTTATGGTGAGAGTTTTGTGTTTTATTGTTAATAGGACATTGTAAACCATTTACAGGTGCCTCATGGCCATTGCCTTTATGACCCTTTAGCTTTCAGTTACAATAAACTTTGAGTGGCAAGAAAAGGAAATGAAAATCATATTAACTCTAAAGTGGCTTAGTGGTAGAGCATTTGTCTAGCATGTTCAAGGCCTTGGGCTTGATCCCCAGCACCACAACAAAACAGATAAACAAAAATAGCTGTTTTTCTCCAGTTGCTTTAGGAAATTGTATTCTTTTTCAAGTGAGAATATCTTTCGTTGTCTTTTACTGTCAGTTCTGACAAACAGTAGTTGAAGGGAAAATGAGGCTAATCATTGCACCTGTTTATTAAGGGCATGAGACAGATACTACCTGATTTTTATTTGGCAAAGTTTTGTATTCATTTCTCTTTTATTGATGAAGAAACAGGCTAAGAGTAGTTCAGAAATCCATCCAAGGAGTTGGGATTTGAGGCATACGTGTCCAGTTTGTAAGTCTGTCCTTACATCCCCATTGTAGAGTGACCTGGTTTTTGGTTTTCATTTGCATATATCCTGTTTGTATTTGGCTACTAGTGTGGCCTCAGCCACATTATCTTCTTCAAAAAATTCTGTTTTGTCTTTGGCAATGTTCTGTTTCTAATTCCTGATAGGAACAATCTCAATATGGAGGTTGGAGCTGTTGATGAGTGTATACTGAGTTCATGGACTCTGCTGAACAGGGGAACTGGAAGTTCTGTAGGTGTCTGAATTGATGATTTCCCAGTATGAAGTCCTTTGGCTTTAGGCAGGAGTGAACCTGAGTTTTGTGTACCTTCTAAAGTTCTTGGTGCAGCTTTGCTCAGTCTGCTGTCTAGGAAACTAGGAATGCAAGTGGTCAAAATGATACTATGGTGAGTCTGGCCTCTTTTTAATTAAAAAAAAAAATCATGAAGTGGAGTGCACATTACTAATAACAGCTTCCATGTGACACATCCTTGGCTGTCTAATCCTCCAAGTTGCCCAGAGATTTGCCTTGACCAGCAGTCTGAAGTACTGGGGACCTGAATGACTGCGTCATGCTAACTAGAATTCAAGGGAGACTAATGCTGGACAAAGAGTGCAGTTTATTGCCCTTCAGGGAGAAGGACACTGCCCCAGGTTCTGCACTAGGCACAATCAGGAAATTCTGTCTGCTTGGCTGCTGAAGGAGTTGAGTGTGAGCATGGGCCATCTTCACAAGTTTCCAGAGTAAGTCTCAGTCTTGGGTTCTGTGCTCTGGAGGGCCATAGCATCCCAGAATCTAAAGGTGTCTTTCTCAGCAAGAAGTCAAAGAAGGGGAGTTGAGGGTGGAATATGTAATGGCTGTGGGCCCAAGCTGTTGTTGCCATGTTTGTTATTACTAATGGAACTTGAGCATCCTTTGCTGGTGTTCTTCCTGGACAATGTTAGATGAGGGTACTGTAATTACTTGCTCTAAGGCACATTTTCTTTGGGACTCCTGGCTGCCCTCTTTTGCATATTCATCTTTGTAGATAAGTATGGTCTCCTGAGTCCTGCTCCCCTGCTCCTCACGGGGCTTCTCTGGACTGTGCCCCTTGTGTGCTGCTTTTCAGTTTGTAATTCCAGGAGCCATTCTCTGACCCTCATTGGAACTGGAGTTCCCAGGTATTTTCAGTATGAATAGGTAAGAGCTTTTCTGTATTTGAAAAGACAGTGTTGATACTCAGGCATTCAGATATTTTGTCACTTTGTTTTGGAACCATTAGCTTAGCTGCAGGGTGGAACTTGGCAGAGCCAAAGGTTAAGTCAGAGAGGTGTGCTGAGCACTTCTGTGAATGGGGAGTGTATGCAGTAGTGGGGAGGCTGACTTGGAGTGATGGAGTCTGCTTCTAGGGATCTTAGGGATCTTGGAGTAGATGGAACATGCTGCAGTGTGAGTGCTGTAGTGGGGCCAGGGGAAGTGTGGTGATAGCAGGAAGAGTGGGTGAGACAGAGGGACTGGCTTCTGCAGCCACACTTTTCATCTGACGTGCAGTGCATGTGGGAACTGTGGGAACATACAGTGATTTGGACATTAGCATCCCCACACAGGGCAGAGGTAAAGACATTTCAAAGCTAAACTTTTGCTAAGAAATTTTGCAAAAGGAACATATCTGCATTGTACTGGTATTCAGTGGTACAGTGGATTTTCCATTTCACAATATTTATTCAGGTATATCTGTGTATCATTCATCTGTACTTTAAGTGGCAAACTGAGAGGAAGGGGTCACCTGGGGCATTGTTTGATAAAGTGCCTCACTTGCTTTGGGGTGTCTTCACTGTGTGGGGTCCTGGCTTAGCTGACTCACACCAGCTGCATCTGGGATTGTAGCTGTGGATCAGGCTTAGTGGGTGCTCAGTGGTTTTCCATGTTCCATACAAGAACCTATAAAGTGGCGATGTTCAGAGAGGTCTGTGGGATGTATGTGGACAGGCTCCAGGGGTCTGTTCACCCCCCACCCAGCTTGTGACCAGGCTCCAGGAGTCTCTTCACCCCCCACCCAGCTCAGAAGTCTCCAGTGGTGAACGGTGTCTCTGATGGCACAGACCAGAGGGAGGTGAGAACTCACTGCACACGGGATCATGTTTTGGCCAACCTCATTGACTCCCTTCATTTTTGTGACTCAGACAAGCTTTTGGTCTGACATGTAGATGTTACGTGTGCTGGGCCCTGTCAGTGAGGCAAACTCCCAGAGCCTGTTCTTTACAGTACTTTTGATTAGCTGCACTGGATTTGTAGTTCCTGTTGCTTTCACAGGTTCTTATCGGTAGTGCCTTCTAGTTACAAGCCCCTCAGCTGGTTTCTCATTAATGTTCTGTTTGTTTATGTTGTCGATGGACCTTTATTTTATTTATTTATATGTGGTGTTGAGAATCGAACCCAGTGCCTCATACATGCTAGGCAAGCGCTTTATCACTGAGTCACAACCCCAGCCCTCTATTCATGTTCTGAACAGCACTGTTATTAATTCATTGTCTCTAGCCCATAGGGTGCAGAGAGGAATAACTGGTCATTAGTTATGAGCACTAGGTCTGCACAGATGGCACTTCAGTACCTAAGCCATGGGTCATGTAAATAGGTGGGTTCTGCCCACCGCCAGGGGTGACTTCTTTCACAGGTGAATAGTGATGGAAGATGGGTGGAGTCAGATGCGCCTGCAGTATAGGCTTATTTTGTGTCAGCCTTTTTTTTTTTTTTAGAACGACCTACTTGGGATTCTTACCTGTAATTTCTATATGGCATTTGTAAGGTAGGAATGAAGGTTATATAAGTTTTTCTTATCTACAAAACACGTTAAACACATTAAACAAAACATAGAATAATATGAATTTTTTTTCCTTAGTGATACTAGGTATTGAACCCAAGAGCACTCTACCACTGAGCCACACCCCCAGTCTTTCTTATTTTTTATTTTGAGACAGGATCTTGCTAAGTTGCTGAGGCCTAGAACTTGGGATCCTCCTATCTCAACTTTCTGGGTAGCTGGGTTCATAGGCATGCGCCACCATACCCAGCATAAAACTTATTTTAAAGGAAATAAATGCCAGCATTTCTACAGAATTCTACATATACTGTATACATTTCTACAGAATTCTACATATACTTTATACATTTCTACATATACTTTATCTGTTGATAAGAAAGAATTAATCATAGTATCAGTACGCTTCAGAGTTGATAAACTTAGGGTTAAGTTTTGCCCTTAAATTAAGCTTAGGAGGACAGATCAAAAGCCTAAGTTTGTGATCTTGGAAGTTCCCCCAGAACTCTCTTCGGCCAGCCCTGCAGAGACAGGAGGTGCCTTCAGGAAAGAGTTTAGGTGTGACTGAGTTAGCATTTTGTCCTCAAAACCCAGGAATTCTAGGGGCTGAAGAATTGCTTATTGAATGAGTCAGTCTCTACTTATTGGCAGTACAAATGCAAAGTGGGAATCAAATGTTAATTTTGTAATTTTTACTTGAAATCTGTCAAATGAATTTTCATAATATATTTTCTTTTTTCTTCCTATCAGGTATCATGATACTGGTTGGTTTGACTTCAAGCCATTTATGAGACTTCAAATCACCCCCAAAATGGGAAACAGAGTGAGGTCTTTCCCAGGAACTCTGGGCTGTTGCTGATGGTAGAAACCGAATGCACCTCAGGGTCACTTGTAGCCCTCAGTGTCAGCTCAGCTTCGGCCGTCCTGAACATGGACAATATGTTGGCCAAGCAGGACAGGCTCCTGGAGGACAATGCCAACAGTGGCACCTCAGCTTGCCCCGAGGCCCTCCTGCAGCCCCTGGACTTGCTGGCACCACCTGACCAGCTGGACAAAGCTCAGTGTAAGTGGCTTACCCCCATGGCTGGTGCTGTGCCTGTGAGCATAGTGTGGCCAGCTTGTGTTTGGAGAAGGATGCAAACATTTATTCATCCAGAGTGTGTGTAAGTAATCCAACAAGTGCTATTTTCAGTTGGCATTAACTTTAAATGAAGCACTGTTTGTATTCAACCACCTGGTTGTGCACCTTTTGACCCTAGTGGCTTCTGTGCGTCTTCACTGATATGTTATTGTTCCATACCTGGAATTCTGCTGTTTTGGTTGATTGATCATTGAAGGTCTCTCTCTTTTTTTCATTTCCTTTCCTCCCTCTCTCCCTTCCCACTCGCCCCTCTTGGGGTTGGCAAACTTCTGAGGAAGGAGGGCACTCTACCTCTGTGTCACATCCCCAGCCCTTTTTACTTTTTATTTTGACACAGGGTATTGCTAAGTTGCTTAGGGCCTCATTCAGTTGCTGAGGCTGCTCTCGAACTTGCAATACTCCTGCCTCAGTGTCTTGAGCCACTGGGATTATAGGTGTGTACCACCATGCCTGACTGGTTGCTAAAATTTTAATAGCTAGAATCCAGAAATGGTTGAGCAGGGATCTAAGGATTCTTGCATCGCATTTTTACATTAGCTGCTACATGAGAAGTAAAAGGTGAATTATGTGCTTTGTTTCCATGTCCCTTCAGTCAGAGGCTGTTGATGCAGTATATACCTTTAAAATTCTAGATTTTTACCATGTAAATACATGTAACTTACTAGCAAAAATTGTGTTCTAAGATGGTTCCGTTGATTATTGTTACCTAAGTGCCAGGTGAGGCAGGTAATGGCATTCATACTGAGACAGTGGCTTCTGAGTTGGACAGATGTGGAAACAGCTCTTAGGTCTGCTGCTTATGTAGATTCATGGTACCCATACCACAGGGGCTTGTGAGCATTAGAGGGTGCACAGCATGCCAAGGGGGCTGGAGTGTGGCTTGGTGGTAGAGTGCTTGTCTAGCCTGAGTAAAGCCCTGGGATCCATCCCCATACTTGATGAGCAACCAGTAAATGGTTATGTCTATTTTTGTTGTCTTCATCCTTAATGTTTATCCATAATTTGTCTTGTGTTTGGAAACAATTAAGTCATAATATTTTTTAATTTTATTTTTTAATAAAGTCTTAGCATTTAATAGACTTGTAATAAAGTCTTAGTATTTATTGGGCCTTTTACTTTTAGACTTTTTAAAAAGTACAGTGTGATGCGTAAAACTTAATTTGTTATCTAAACAGAAAGTTTAGAGACTCACTCATCATAAAGTGGTATTAACCCAAGTAACATGAGTGTGAAATGTGGACCCCAGTGGAACTGGTGTGGGGTGTACAACAGACAGTTCTGTGGGGTGTTGGCAGGTCACTGCTTTACTCCTGTTCTGAGATCCCCATGTGTCCTCTGGAGACAAAGCTGTGAGTGCTGTGTCAACAGAGACTGACATCTGCAAGTGACAGGCTCCGACTGGCTGACTAGAGCTAGGCATCTCCTGGGTGCATTACTGTGCAGCTCATGGGGCCCAGTAGTGGTTAAGGAGAGGTTGGGGCCTCTGGGTGGGCCTCCTTCCTCCTTCTCCTCAGCTGACAAGCTCACAGGTAGGCTTTCACCCAACAGGTGGTCATCAAGCATAGAGCATTTCTTTGCAGAATTGCTCCCATCAGCTTATCTACCTCTTTGCCTTAGATTTCTCATTTTTGAGGATAACATGTGCTTTGAATTGACTTTGGAACCAGCCCTTGAAAATGTGAGCAAGGACACTGCCAGTTAGAATAATTCTCAGCTTTATTTCAAGCTTTTGTTTCTTTTCCTATTTTTGAAAACAGATTCTTAGGAGATTTCTCATTGTTCTTGTTTACATGGAAAGGAATTGCCTTAAATTCTGTAGCCAAGGTGTGAAGGGTGAGGTTACTTACAGGGGAGGCTGTAATGGAAGCCCATTGTGTTGCTTGCCCCAGGAAGGAGGCATGGGCTGTCTCTTCTCACAGGGCTCAGTTGTAACACATGGAGTTGCTCCTGCTCCTACATAGCTGCCTGTCTGAAATGAGCTGATCTTGCTGCCTATCTGAAATAACCACCATGGTGGTCCAACATGTTCTCTCTTTTCAGGTACCAGCATTGAGGCTGGCAAAACTTCTGAGGAAGGAGGAAGCCTTGATGGGCCTGGCCAAGAGACCCTCTGTCAGAATGGGCCTGCACCACAGTTCCCAGACCCTCTGCTGCCTCTCACCTCCACGACAAGCCCAGTGGGTCCTGATGCCTCTTCAGGTGTGGCTGGTTTCCATGACAACCTAAGGAAGTCTCAGGGAACTAGTGCTGAGGGCAGTGTTAGAAAAGAAGCTTTGCAATCTCTCAGACTCAGTCTTCCCATGCAAGAAACGCAACTGTGTAAGCATCCGCTCCTGCCGGGCCCTTCCCCACCCTCCAGAGCGGTGCCTGACTGCTCCTTTGTGGGCAGCGTGCCCTGCCCTATGCCATCTTATTACTGGGGGGCGGGGTGGTGTATTTAATGAATAGCTTCATTTTAAAGACTGAAAATACTGGTAGGTGTTGGAACTTCTCTGCTATTTGGTATTAGTGGTGTTTCTAGAGTCCCTGTCAGTCAGCCCAACTCTTGTGTCCTTTATCACCCATGTGGCCAACAAGCAGATAGGGGGATCAGTCCTGAGATAGTTCTAATTATACTTGAAAGTGTTCTTTTATGCCTTTTTTGTTTGTTTATTTGTTTGTGTTTGATACTGGTTATGGAACTCAGCCTTGGGCATGGTAAGCAAATGCTCTACCACTGAGCTACAGACCCAGCCCTTTTCATTTTTTATTTTGAGACAGGGTCTCACTACATTGCCCAAGCTGGCCTGGAACTTGCCATCCTCCTGCCTCAGTCTCCCGAGCAGCTGGGGACAAGGTTGTGGCCACCGCACCTAGCTTTTTTTGCATTATTTCCATCAGTATTTACTTTCTGATGGTCTCTGGCATTTCAAAGTTGATCAAGTTCTGCACTGGCAACCTTTGAACCCTAGAAACCTCAAGACCTTTTCCTTAGCTTTGCATTTTGTGTGTACACATACATCAAATTTTACATGATGAGATTGTGTCCTCAGCTCCCTCATTGTCTTGCACCCCAGGCAAGCCATATTTTCACAAGGTTCTTGCGGGCCTCTATAAACATGCTCAGGGCTTGGCTGTTGTGTGTGGTATTGGGAGTGAGTGCTGATCCTGTGTTGCAGTTTTCCCACTGGGCTGTATTACATGGCATAGTTCCCTACCACCTGGAATCTCTTGGCCCCAGCACGACCAGGTCAGCCCCTGGCCCCTACTGCCTGCAGTCTTCCTGTCCATGGCAACAGTAAGCATTGCTGTGGCCAGCTTCCTGGCACACGTGTTTTTGGGGCTTTGACTCTCTGCTCTGTGGGCCATGCCTATGATTGGTGCTGTCCCACCTGGTCAGATGCCAGGCACTAGGGACCTGTGTCGACACCTTTTCCCACATGCCTTCACCATGTGGACACTGTTTTTCTGCTTTTTGTATGTTTGTTTTTGAGACAAAGTCTATACAGTGCCCAGTCTGGCCTCAAACTCCTGGGCTCAAGCAATTCCCCCCATGTCAGCCTTCCAGGTAGCTGGGACTGCAGGTGTGCTCTGTCCACATGTGGGTGTGCATGGTGAGTGATCCGCTTTCCTCGCCACAGTCTGAGCATCTTGCTCTGCTGGCTACCCTGGGCAGTCTTTCTTGTGTGTTGTCTCTTCACATCTTGGCCTTTGTCTTCCCAAGTGTTGTGCTTTTTAAGGTTTCTGAAAATGGGCTACCAACATTTAAGTCAAGCAATGTCATAAATGCTGCATTCCTGATCCTACAGATTTTGTGCTCTGGTCTCAGGTGCCCACACGGCAGCACCTGCCCAGTCTGCACTACCCTGTTGTGGGGCAGTCTCCCACCATCACCCTGACCTGAAGCTCTGTCTGGGTAGTTTGTCATCTAGCTCTGGTGTTGTTTAATTTACAGCCGTCCCATTTTGCTGATTGATGGCAACTTCTTGGTGGCCAGGGGCCTTAAGTGTGCCACTCAGATAAACTGGCCATCTGGGCCACACAGCCTTGCGAAATGTACTGGAGATCTGTTTGGTGATCAGATCACTAACAACAGTGGTCAGCTTCTGGTGACCTTAGCACTGCCTCGGTTTTAGGGATTTTTAAAAAAAATATTGCTTCCTTAGAATCCAACCATGTCTGAAGAGGGTATAAAAAGTTGTTAAAATACTGCATTTATCTACTTTGGTCAACAGCTGGACCGTCTGGTGGAATTCCACCTGCAGGGCTGCGATGTTAAAGAAGACTAAAGCTCAGGCCCAGTCCTGGGGAGAGCAGCCCCAGGTTTGAAGCTGTAATACCTTTGCACTTTTCATTCAACCTTTTAACTACTCAAAGTAGGATGTTTGGGTTTTAATAGTTTGAATTTTGTTTTGGGGTAGAAAGTTATTTCCCATTCTGTCCTTGAGCACAACCTCTGGATTGGAGTCTGTCAGGAAGTGAGTTGGCCAGCCCACCTCTGCTGTAGATTCTCCTGGGTATGCACTGGCAGTGCCCTGGAACCAGACTGCTCAGTCCTTTCTGTCCTTCAGGGAATAGTGCATGGGTCCTGCTGGCTTATTTAATTTTGCAAAGACCTATAAGATGGCTCGTTTCTGTAGGAAATGAAACAAGCTATGGATCAGTCATATCTCCAGGTGAGTGCATGGGGGAAAGTGTCCTATGTCATGATCCCATGGTGGCTCCTTGTATTGGTTGTCCCTGAGTATAGCCCCATCGTGGCTGCATTTGGGTCATGTTCCACCCACAACATCCCCAGGGGGTGAGCACCTTTAGCAGCTCCAGAGCAGAGTCCTGGCCCACACCAGCAGAGTGTCTTGAGCCTGTGCACACCCAGCTCTGGAGCCAGCTTTAAGTTCACCCCTTTATGTTACTAGAAGGCACTTGTCTCCTGTCTCTGGTTTTGCCAGGCAGATGCCTGTCTTGAGGAGCAGCAGTGACCAGCTCTTTGGTGTGTCTCCTACAAGATGGACCCTCTCTGTGGTCAGTGGGCCAAAACTTGTAGTTTTCTCTCAGTCTAGAAATTAGATGGCTGTGCATTTTTTAGGAGTTAAAATATTGGCAATTAAACGCAAAACAGCCACATTCTGGTTGCCAACTTGTTCTCTGTGCCCTGCTCCCTTATGTGCCTCTTAATGGACATTTCCCCTGAAGGCTCCACGATGTCGTCACTGCCACTGGAGGAGGAGGAGCAGGTCCGACTTCAGGCCCGGAAGCAGCTGGAAGAGCAGCTCAGACAATACCGAGTAAAGCGCCAGCAGGAGAGGGTGAGTCTCCTCCTGAGCCTGCTCAGAAAAGCTCTGCACGTAGCTCGGCATGGCAGTGCACGCCTGTCATCCCAGCAACTCTGGAGGCCGAGGCAGGAGGATCGCAAGTTTGAGGCCAGCCTCAGCAATTTAGCACGGCCATAAGCAACTTAGCAAGACCCTGTCTCAAAAAATAAAAGGGGCTAGGGATGTGGCTCGGTGGCTAAGTGCCCCTGGGTAAATCCCTGGTACAAAAAAAAAAAAAAAAAAAGCTCTGTGTGTGTCGGGTGTGCACACCTGTTAATCCCAGTGACTCAGGAAACTGAGGCAGGAGAATTGCAAGTTCAAGGCTAGCCTGGGCAACTTGGTGAGACTGTATAAAAATGAAAAACTAAAAAGATCTTTGGATGTGGCTCAATGTATAGCACTCCTGGGTTTAGTCCCTGGTACCAAAAAAAAAAAGAAGGAAAGCAAGCTGGCCCATGCTGTGTGAGGTGAGCTGTCAGCGCTGGCTCCGGCATGCAGATGGGTGGGGCTCTCATAGCTGCCGCTGTGCATGCATCCCCTTGGGAGACTCCAGCAGGGTCAGGTCAGGCCCATCTGGTCCTGCTGCCTTTGGAAGGAGTGCATTTTATTCCTGCATCTGAAAACCAGAGAAGCTGAGCTTGTACCTTTGCTCTCAGACCTGAGCCACCAGGCGTAGGTCTCCATTTACTTCATGAGTGACAATCCCAGTGAACTCTACTGCTGTACATGGTTGTGCCTTCTGCAGGCCAGGCACAGAGCTTCTGCTAGGATCACCTAAAGCGGTCTCCTGAAGCCCGTCACTTGGCTCTAGGCAAGGTTCTATGAGTGCCCCATTTTTAGTTCTTCCAACTTTTTTGTGGGGTTAAAAATTTTAAAATGAAGTTATTTAAGATTTAAAGTAAACTAAGTTAAAAATTCATTCAGTGAGATTTTGTAAAAACAGTCTCCATCGGGTTAGCATTGTTCTCCTAGAAGAAAGTGCTGTTTTCAAGGTGCTTCTGCTCTGCAGGGGATGGGAGCTCTGCATAGCCAGGCCTGTCTCTAGGGTGCTCTACCAGGAGCAGTCACAGTGCAGGACAGCGTCAGTGACTGCTACAAGCTGGTGTTGTGTTAGTTCCCTGTTGCACCATGGGCCGGTGAAGAGGTGACTTTCAGGAGGAGAAACAGACTGAGTTAAGGACCTTGCTGGAAGTCACTCAGCAGTGACGCAGAACTCCTGTGAGGTGTGCCTCCCTGAGCCTGTATGGAAGTTCCAGACCTGCCTGAATCTTCTGGCATTAATTGATGAATGTGTCAGTAGTAGTGTAACACTCCAAATGTGAAAGTTTAGGACTAGTCCTCATCTTAAAAAATTAGGTATCTCAAATAACAGCTAAAAAAGTTGCATATAATCATGTAACAGGGGAGTGCTTCCTTAGTCCTGGACCTTGAGACTAGCTCACCATGTCAGGTCTGACATCAAGTCCCCACTCCCAATCTCCCACTTGCTCAAGGAGGGCAGATTGGAAGAGGCCATACTTCCTGCCTCAGCCCCTCTCATTCAGTCATCCCCACATCCTGGTGTGGGAGCCAGAGTCAGGGTAATTTGGTGCTCTGAGTTAGCAGCCCCACTATCCCCACCGGATCGAGGCCACATGAGCATGGTGCTGTGCTTCCTGCTAGTTCATAGAGTAAGAGGTTCCCTTTGAGACTGAGGTTAATTCAGAGTGTGAAGTCACAGTAATGGGTCCCCGTGAAGACTTCTAGGGTCGTGTCAGCTGGAGTTGAGAGCGCCGAGTGAGCGAGCAGCAAGGGACTGGACCAGGAGTGTAGACTGTGCAGCCTGAGCAGTGCCTCAGGAGTCCTGCCAGGTGTGGTGTGGCCAGGGCACGCTGCCAGGTCTGCAGGACCCGGGCCTGCATGCTCTCATCTACACAGACAGCTGAGAGCGACCCATGTAAAGTCTGCCAGCATTTAATCAGTTTCTAGATTTGGACTGTAGTGTTTTATATCTTGGTGTATCTTGGTTGGTAAATCTTTTTTCTGGAGGGGGGCTACTGGGGATTGAACTCGGGCACTCGACCGCTGAGCCGCATCCCCAGCCCTATTTTGTCTTTTATTTAGAGACAGGGTCTCACTGAGTTGCTTAGCACCTCACCATTGCTGAGGCTGGCTTTGAACTCTGGATCCTCCTGCCTCCGCCTCCCAAGCCACTGGAATTATAGGTGAGAGCCATTGTGCCTGGCTTGGTTGGTAAATCCTTGACTATAAAATTATGGTAAAAGCTTTGGTGTATTTGTTGTTTTGATATTTATTGCCCTCCATGTAAGCTTAACTAGTTTACGCTCTGGTTTGCAGTATGTAAGATTTGTCAGTTTTCTTACCCTTGGCAGCTTTGGAAACAAAAGTTGAATGTTGAATTTTTCTCTCCTCGTGGTTCCTAATGCTGTCATCCTGTGTATGGGCTTTCGGTTCTTTTCATGGGTGTCTTTACTGTGTAGCTGCTGTGTATGCCAGGAAATGATCACTTCTTGGTGTATGTTGAAAGGATTTTTCCCTAGCTTCCATATCTTTTGACTTCTAGCAACTTTTTTTTAAGGTTATCTTTGAGTAAGCATGATGATGAAGTTCTTTTTTTTTTTTTTTAATCAAGTTTTTTTTTTAGTTGTCAGTGTACCTTTATTGTATTTACGTGTAGTGCTGAGAATTGAACACAGCGCCTCACACATGCTAGGCAAGCGCTCTACCACTGAGCCCCAACCCCAGCCCAATATATATATATATATTTTTTTTAATTTGACTGAAAAGCCATTTTAAATATTCATTGTCAAAATCTGTCTGTTCTTATTTCTTTTGAGGTCTGTGTCATATTTCTAGAAGCTCTCCCTACTGGGAGAATATAAATACATTTTATATTCCAATGCTTTCTTCTTATACTTTTAAAATGTTCTTTTTTGCAGTACTGGGGATCAAACCCATGCCTCACCCATGCTAGACAAGTGCTCTGTCACTGAGGCACATCTCAGCCCAAGAATATGTTCTCAGTATTTGAATCTAACCCATCTGGGGTCTCTGGGCATAGAGGAAGAGGACAGAATTGGGACGCCTCGGGTATAGCCAGTCGGTCACACGCGCCAGCTGCTGCCCTGCACGTCACACCTGTCAGGCTGGTGCTGGGCCTCCACCCTGTCTCACTGGCCTGTCTGCTGCTGTCGAGTTCTGTGGCCCCATGGCCCTTGTCCACATCTGTACATTGCCCACCCCTGCCCTTCTTGTTCTTGTCCAACTGCATCCCAGTATCCCAGGCTCTTCCTGCAGAGTAACAGGGTTGGACATTTCTCTGTGGGAGGAAGTCAGGTCAACATGGCAGGAACACTTCATGTCTCACTCAGGGCCAATTGAAACTTCTGGCAATACAGTAATACTAGAAGTGAAGGGGACATTGACATAGGAGAAGCCCTGCTGGTGTTTGCAGATGTCAGTGACTGTGATGACTTCTTAGAAAACATGAGAGTCAACTGAAAACAATTGTTTGATCATATTTGGGTTTAGAAATTGTCTGTGTGTTAATACAAATATAAAAATCAGCAGTTACTCTGCCATAATCAGTTATAAAAACCAGTGGGAAAAATAATAGAAATGACGAAAGAGAATTAAAGAAAAATGATAATGAGAATTAAAGAAAAGTACGATGTATAACACAAATGATAAACATGAATCAGAGGGTTCAGGATCTAGATGAGAACTCCACATGACTTCTGTGTTGAAGGACATGTCAGATGTGAATCCAGGGGATAGCTCTAATTCAACAGGACTTTAGGTGTGTGTTTGGGAGGGTGTTGGGGGTTGAACCCAGGGTGCATGTCGTAAAAATGTACACAGCCTTTTTTAATTGCCCAGGCTATGCTCCTCCTGCCTCAGCCTCCGGAGTTGCTGGGATTACAGGTGTGTGTCACCCTGCCCAGCTAGGACTAATTTTTTCTTAACCTTGAAAATATTATGTGTATTAGGAAGAAGGAAACACAGTATTGGAGGGAAATCTTATCAAGGAAGCACAATGGGGAGGAGCCTGCTGGGGAGCGTGTGCCTTTGGCCTCTGGTTGCTCAGACTGGTCACTGAGCACCACCCTGAAGCAGTGCACACCTGAGGACTAGTAGGCTGGCCACACCTGCACAGCAGGTGCTTGGCAGATGCTGGTCAGTCAGGGGGATGCCAGTGTGTGCAGGTTTGTGGGTGACAGTTTTAGGATGTTACTTGCTAATTTTAAACATATTTTTGTACTTTTGTTTCCTTTCAGTCTAGTCAACCTGCAACAAAAATGAGACTTTTTAGCACACTGGATCCTGAGCTCATGTTAAACCCTGAACACTTGCCAAGGGCCAGTCCCGTGGCTCTGACCACAGAGTACTCCTTCCTGCGCACGAGTGTCCCTCGGGGGCCCAAGGTGGGCAGCTTAGGGCTGCTAGCACATCCTAAGGAGAAAAAAAGTTCCAAATTAAGCAAAATTCGGTCCCTGGCTGATTATAGGACTGAAGGTTCAGGTGATGCTGGTGGCCCTGGTCCCACTGCTGATTCTGTCAGGGGCTCCCTGAAGCAGAGCAGAAGTAGCACCTCCATTGTTTCTGAGGTCAGTCTGTCTCCTGAGGCTGACGGCCGCCTGGAGAATGCCTCGCTGACTGGGGACAGTGTGTCTGAGGCTGATGGAAATGACAGCGACAGCTCCTCACACAGCAGCCTCTCCATCCGTGGGACTGGTGGCGTTCCAGGGAGCATGGCAGGCACCCAGGGAGCTGCCTATGTGATCGGTGGCCAGGAGATTGCTGCAGAGGCCCTGGGCCAGTTCCCCTCAATCAAGGATGTGCTCCAGGCGGCAGCAGCTGCGCACCAAGACCAGGGGCAGGAAGTCAGTGGGGAGGCACGGAGCCGCAGAGACAGCGTCTGTAGCAGGTGGGCAGCAGTATGGCCCTTAGCACTGCACTCTGGGGCAGGCCCCATAGTGTTTCCTTTCTAAGGCCACTTCCAGTCTTCACCTGACATCGCATTCACACACAGGTGTGTTGCTCAATGAGCAGTAGAATTAGGTCTCATCAGTGACCCTCTGCAACCAGGAATACCTGTGGCTAAGACTGCACGGGTGTCCCTGGAGAGGCCTACAGTGGAGGCCACACAGTCTGAGCTCTGCTCACTGTGGGAGAAGGAAGCAGGGGTGTGGGATTTGGAGAACGTGGGGAAAGGTGAAGGAGAAGTAACCACTGGCCTGTTCTCTGTTGGCCCTCTGTCTTTGCTCCCCAGCATGTCCATGGACAGCTCACTTACGGAGACACAGGATGAAATGTTGCAGGTTCTTAAAGAGAAAACGAGACTTGAAGGACAGCTGGAGGCTTTATCCCTAGAAGCTACTCAGGTGAGTGATGTCAGGTTGGTGTGTCTTCAGGAGTGGGCCACAGCCCCTTTGTCTCATTTGTCCCCTTGATGTGTTAGCCCTCTTGCTACTTGTGTTAGTCCCTTCCCTCTGCCTCCCTGCATCGCCTTTGGGACTTGCCCAGAATGTTTCCTAGATGTAGGTACCTCACAGTCCATAACAGTTCAATTCTTCAGGCAGTTGGGCCTTTTTCTGAAATAGAGAGATTTTCTTCTTCCTTCCTTTTTTTTGCAGTGGGTTCTACTTTGTTCATCATTAATTTTGCGGTATCTGGTTAGCCTTTGCCTGAAGGTGCTTTTCCCTCCCTTAACTTTGAGCCTTCGTTTTTGGTGTGTGGGGTGTAGTAGAGAAGAGCTAGGTGGTTGTCTTTCTGTCCACAGTTAGAGCAAGTCAGCTTAGTGGAATTCAGCCATGGCACTCAACTTGAGAGAGGAAACACCTCTGGGGTCCAGAGCCCATTTCCAGTGGGCCCGTGCTGCAGGGTGGAGGGCAGCAGGACGGCACCACGCCAGGTGCACATGGGGAAGTTAGCTCGCCTACCTGGCCACTGGGGTTTCATGGTTCGACAGGATCCTCAGTCACAGCAGCCATGTGGAGGCACGTGGAGCTGTCCATGGAGAGGTGGTCTCAGGTTTCGTAGGTGGCTCTGGTTTTTGTCCTTGTGCTTCATGCACTGCTTCAGAGTGCAGCTGTCCAGCCCTGCACAGGTCCGTGTCCTCCATGTATGCCATCTCTGCAGTCAGGAGCTTCATCACACTTTTTTCTTCTCCTGGGATGGTGCATTTGTGCTTTGGTATGTCAAAGCCAAATTGTTTCAGTTTGTATGGTGATAATCTAGCACCTCTGTGGTTGCCAGCTATCCTTGTTCTGCACCCTATAGAGCTCACTCAGTGGGGTTTCTCTGGGTGTTTTGTGACTGTTGGTAGTGTGGTTTACCCTCGTGCATGAGTTTTGGACTCCCTCAAATACCTTTATATAGATCTGGGGATGAACAGGAGATGCTGGTGGCAGGGTGGGGCATGTGCCCCAGCTTGCTTGCTTGTTTTATGGTGGGGGTGCTAGTGTTAGAACCTGTGGCCCTCGACATACTACGTGAACAGTTGGCCACAGAGCCACTCTCAGCCCTCACTTGTCGTCTTGTTGGGGCTGTTCTCAGCAGCTGCTGGGGCCAACCCTCTTGCCCTGCTCTGTCCAGTGTCACTCCTGGCTGCTCCTGTGGCCAGGCTGGAACCCTGGGGGCCTCCCTCATAGCAGCAGCCTTTCCCTGCAGATGTGTGTGCCCATTTGCCCTGGATCTGAGCCAGACTGCCTTTGCCTGGGGAATCCCTGTTCCTGTCTTGTGTTCTCACTGTGCAACTATGTATGGTTTGGGAGCAAATGTGCTTTCCAGTGTCTTTAACAGGGAATAGGTGCTCCCACAGCTCTACCTGAGTGCTGTCCTCTTAGACTGCTCACTCCCCCTCCTGTCTCCTGGGATTTTTTGGAAAATTGTCTTCTTTTGGGATAACAGTCATAGTGGAGTGACTAGGTGGCTTGGGGATCTAGGATTTCAGAGTAAAACTCACCTTTCTGTCTCACTGGTCATTCCAGCAGTCTTGATAATACTCTGGATGGAAGTGAGTCATTTTTCTGAAGCTGTTGTGGTTGGGGGTCTTTTCAGGCACTTCAGGAGAAGGCTGAGCTGCAGGCCCAGCTGGCGGCCTTGCACACAAGGCTGCAGGCACAGGTAGAGCAGACCCACAGCAGCCAGCAGAGGCAGGACTCCCTCAGCTCCGAGGTGGACACTCTGAAACAATCTTGCTGGGACTTGGAGCGAGCCATGACTGACCTGCAGAACATGCTGGAGGCCAAAAATGCCAGCCTGGCATCCTCAAACCATGACCTGCAGGTGGCAGAGGAGCAGTACCAGAGGTTGATGGCCAAGGTGGAGGACATGCAGAGGAACATGCTCAGCAAGGACAACACAGGTGAGCGTATGGCACCATACTCCCGCCTCTGGCCACTGTGGCCTGGCTGTGGCTGCGGGATGGGTTAGCTTAGAGTTGATGCCTGGGGTATTGATTTTTGCATAAACTCGGGATTCTCTTCATTTTTGTGTGAGCATCCAGGGGGATGGGTTAGATCTCAGAAATTGAATTTGAACCCTTGACAGTCAGGAGTAGTCATTCCACTCATTGCCTCTGGTGCCTCGTAAGTCCAGTGTGGTGGGGGAGGAGCACAGCCTGCTTGTCTTCCACTCACTCTACATGCTTAGGCCTGGATTACTGGTTGGTCATCCTCCTCCCATTGTGAAGTTCAGCATTTTAGTTTGTGGGCTTACTAGAGAAAGCCAAGGAACTGCCCTAAGTGGTCACACACAGATAGCCCCTGCCCTTGGTCCCCTCCATTTGGGTACTGAGAAGACTGGTCTGCTCACACCATGTTGTGTGAACAGGATGGGAAAGAGAGTGAGGCAGAGTGGGAGACTGAGGACCAGAGCATTAGGGACACAGAAGGCCGCAGGCTGCTCACCTACAGCTCTTGTCCAGAGTTGTGAGGTCTCAAGGTGGGGCTCTGAGGCTGGACGCCGTCTCCTGACCTGAAGGAGAATCGCGTGCACTGTTGTCCACAGAGAGGGCCTGCTGAGCCACAAGGTGCTCTTTTGATTGCTGTTAATTTTTCAACTATTCAGCATTATTGATACTCAACCCCTTAAGAAAACTAAAATCCAAAAATTCCTGAATACCAAGATAGCTTTATACCTCTTGGGGTTTGGGGCCTCACTGGACAGTACTTCTGGGGCAGCAGACACCTAAGCATGGGTGAGTGGCTCAGTCGTGGTCAGCAGCCCTGCTGAAGGTCCTGCCTGAGCTACAGGCTTCCCTGCTATGTGTGTTGTGGTTACAGAGTGAGGCAGGTCCTTCTGTAGCCTAAGGACCACACCACTCTGAACTCTGAAACACTGCACATGGACTCATGGGCCCTCTTGAACAATCCTGTTCATCTTTCTTTAGAAGTTTAGGAAAATATCTTCAGAATGACTAATGCTTTCTTTTTTTTTTTTTCTTTTATAGTTTTAGATGGACACAATGCCTTTATTTAATTTGTTTATTTTTATGTGGTGCTGAGGATCAAACCCAGTGTCTTGTGCATGCTAGGCAAGCAGTCTGCCACTGAGCTACAGTCCCAGCCCCATGACTAATGTTTTCTTGAATTTGAAGTGTAGTTTAATTTTAAAATATGTGGCTTTTTTTTTTTTTAATACTGGGAATTGAACCCAGGAACACTTAACCACTGAGCTATACCCCTAGCCCTTTTTTTTACTTTAAGACAGGGTCTCACTAAGTTTCTGAGGCTGACCTCAACTTGCAGTCCTCCTTCCTCAGCCCCCTGAGTCAATAGGATTACAGGTGTGCACCACTGCACCCAGCCTGACTTATTTTATTGGTATTGGGATTTGAGTTGATATGGCTTCTGTCTCACCTCCTCGCCCTCCTTCCACCTTCCCTTGCTAGTGTTGAGTTGGCCATACGTGCAAACCAGCAGGTGCTGGTGTAGAACCAGCAATATGTTGCCCTTGCCCAGTGTGTATGGCTGGTGGACTCCACAGGTGGTTCCGAGATGATAGCCATGGTGTCCACAACAGTTTCATGGACGCAGTTGGTTCTCAGCAGCACTCACAGATGCCGTGACTTACAGTGTGACTTTAAGTAAACTTGCATTTATAATCCCCAAATCAGGGCTCAGAGCACTTCTGTGCTCATTCACTCTAAATATGAGAGTGGAAGATTTTATTTATTTATGTATTTATTTATTTATTTGGTACTGGAGCTTGAACCCAGGGGTGCTTCACCACTGAGCAACACACCCCAGCTCTTTTATTTTTTATTTTGAGACAGGGTCTTGCCAAGTTGCTGAGGCTAGTCTTGAACTAGTGACCCTCTAGGCAGGATATTTGAGATTCCAGATGCACGCACTCCCAGCTGAGGCATTAGGAGTGACATTGTGCTCTCTTGCTTTCCCTGAGACTTGCCCTCAGCTCAGACTATGAATAGGTGTTCCCTCTGTGGTCTGTTTGGTATCCGTTGTGCATTCTGTGCTTTTTGCAGGTTGGTTTTGGCCCCACACACTGTGTTTTTAAGTGTGAGGAGGCCAAACTATTTCATGGAGACACATTAACTAGAGATATTTTTTTGAAGCTTGTTGGCTAGTGGATAGAGCAGCTGGCTTTGAGCCAGCTGTTCATGAGTAAACAGATATTAAAGAGGTGTCTTTAAATAAAATCACATGTAAATGAAGTTTTATGTTGGTGGGGTGATGAAAATGTGAATGAGGCTTAAAGGAACATAGCCTTGTGTCCCCAGGAACAATGACAGTGCTATATTCATGGAACCTTAGGAACATAACCACTGAGGTGGCAGCATCACCTGTACGTCTTACTCGCTGTGTAGCTTGACTGTGTGTCAAGTGTCTGTGGAGAGGCAAGGCTCCTGGGATACCAGGTAGCCAGCTGAACGCGACTGACTGTTCCCTTCCAGTGCATGACCTCCGACAGCAGATGGTGGCCCTGCAGAGCCAGCTGCAGCAGGTACAGCTAGAGCGCACGACCTTGACCAGCAAGCTGCAAGCCTCCCAGGCAGAAATCGCGTCTCTGCAGCATGCTCGGCAGTGGTACCAGCAGCAGCTTGCCCTGGCTCAGGAAGCCCGGGTCAGGCTGCAGGGCGAGGTGGCCCACATTCAGGTACGGCCCTGGGACTCCCTTCAGAGAGAAGGCATGTGGTGGGCAGGCATACTTCCTGACTCCTTGTGGAAGGACACTTCTGCCAAATCATGGGTGCATTTTACAGTCTACTGACCACTAGGAGAACCCATACCCTCTCCTCTGCAGGTGCCTTCCAGCTGCTCTTTGGATTTGCTTCTAAAGTGCCTACTTTGGGAAATCTCCAGCCAGTCTCTTCCCACCTCCTTGGCCTTCACCTTTGTGTCTGTGGGGTCTCGGACTCTCCCTCCCTGGCTGCTCTGTGGAGTCCCCTCCCTCACCTTCTCCATCAGGCACTAAATGTGGCACGTGCTCCTTCCCTGCTGGAGCCTCACCTTTTTCTGGCTGCTTGAACTCAGAGATGTAGAGTCATCAGACCGCCTTGGAGGACACTCTCCTCTTTCCTCTTCATTTGTTAATGGATGTAGACTGTTAGCTGTTGGTTCTTGTATGTGGGAGTCTGTGCTGACCCACATGTCTTCGGGGCCCAGGCAGCACTGGTGTGGTGCTTCAGCGTGAGGCCTGGCCCGTGGCCTGTGGCAGCCTTTCTCTTGGTATAGTTTTGGTTCTGGGGATTGAACCCAGGGGTGCTCTACCACTGAGCCACATCCTCAGCCCTTTTATTTTTTATTTTGAGACAGGGTCTCATTAAGTTGCTGAGACTGGCCTTGAGCTTGTGATCCTCAGCCTCTAGAGTCTAACTAGTTAGAAAATTTAATGTACTGTCCAGGCTACTGTGCATGTATGAGGCTGGACTATTTAAAGCCACATTAAGGTATAAATAATTGAGAGGCACTCTGGAAGATGAAAGTAGAGGAGTGGAGGTAAGTGGCAGTCCTCCCTGCCTGCCTTGTGCCTCTGGTGCAGGTCCAGTGTTCTGAGTTAGGTTTCAAACTGCTTCTGAGCTTCCCCTTCTGTTCTGATAGAGGATGCAGGTCAGGCTCTCTGCTTCCATTATCTTGAAGCAGCCCCAGCAGATGTTTCCCTCCCTTGCTCCAGCAGCTTTTCTCAAGCCCTGCAGCCCACTGCTCTGTCACACCTTACATCTTGTGGTCCAGGAAGGCCCACTGGGGATAGTTGTGGCATGGGGAGGACCAGCCACAGCCTGTGCCCTTACCTTTATTCAGCTCTGGCTTCCCTTTGCTCCTCTCCCCTGAGGGTCCTGACACCAGGCTGCATGAGATGGTCAGCTGAGGTAGCATGACTGTCCGTAATGCCTGTATGGGTTTGGTCAGTTCAGATGAGCTTGGTCAGTTCAGATGAGCTGCTTACTGGGGTTCAGGTGCCCTTGGTAGGAATGCCTGTGTAGGTCCACCACACTACACAGTCTTAGTTTGATGACCTGACTCTGGGTGGCCTGCTTCCCCTATTTGGCCCACAGGATCCATAGTTTAGCCCAATGTTTGAGGTGGGATGACTTGTGGTGGGCACGGGGAGCAGAAGCAAGGCATGCGGGTGCTATCTGGGCATGTTGTGAGTGCAGCGAGGGACCATTGGTGGCAGAGCCTTGCTTAGGTGGCGTGGGATCTGCACTTGGTGCCAGAAACTGAGCACCTGCTGCCTCGGGTCTCTTTGTGAAGGTCGGACAGATGACGCAGGCTGGTCTGCTGGAGCACCTGAAGCTGGAAAATGTGTCCCTGTCCCACCAGCTGACAGAAACACAGCACAGGTCCATGAAGGAGAAGGAGCGCATAGCTGTCCAGTTGCAGAGCATCGAGGTGAGGGTGCCACTGGCTGCCAATTTCCGCCTGGCTTTGGGTCACGCTGGGAAGTATGAGAGGCACACATGTACATGTTTGAACCCACACTGCAGGCTTGAGGTGTACACGCATGTGTGTTTGTACCCATGACGCCAGCTTGAGGTGTACATGTGTGTGTGTTGGTACTCACAATGCAGGCTTCAGGATGTACACGTGTGTGTAGATGGTACCTGGATGTGGAGAGTATTTAAGAGCATTTTGAAACATTGTTTTGAGCAGTCTGCAGTGACAGCTGTGCAAATTTGGGGACCCCACCCCTCCTGGCCCACAGGTCAGGAGTACCTTGGAGCCCTTTTCCTCCAGTCCCCAGCCATGGATTCTTGTCACCTGGGAATAGAGCTGGGCCCAGAGTCTCTGTGGGGACAGTGTTTCAAAGCCAGGTGCTGATAGGTGTTTCCACCTGCTGTACCCGTACGGCTGTGCCACCCTCTACTGTCCTCCCTAGGCACAGGAAACACACTGGCTGGGGCCTTGACCAGATTCCCTACCTGTGAGAATCTGGGTGGTTTTTAACTTCTGTTTGTCTAGTTTCCTTTGTATAAATCAGGTAGTAATACCTACTCAATTTCCTTGTTAGCAAACCTGTAGCAGAGAACAGTGTGAGCCATCTGGTCATTTTGTGCTGAAAATGCCACCAGGCTGCCTGTCCTGACCCTTTGTGGTCATGCAGCTGCAGTGGGTCGTCTGGCTTCTCGTCTTCTCATTACTCTGCACCTACCCTTTTCCCTGTGGACCACACAGCCATTTGACTTGGATGATGGAAGAGAGTCTGTTGAGTCAGCCATAGTGATTAAGGGCTCAGTGTAAAAGAGCCAAAAACATTTCGAGTTGTGAATTGATGTCTTTTTTCTTAACAGTTGTGCCAGGAACCAGATCTGGTTGGTCAGTCTGAATGTGAGGAATGCCATGCTTGGGATACAGTCCCTACTGTCTCCCTGTGTTCCTAAGTGGTGCTGGGTCAGGCGGCAGTCTTGTCCAAGAGAACATCCTGTGAGGCACTGTAGGGGACAGGGTGCCACCCACCTGTCCTCGCGAGAGCAGCGGCTGGGAGGCTCACCCAGCACTTGATCCCATTTCTTCTTTTCCTGTTTTTGAGATGGGGTCTTGCTGACTTGCTCAGGCTGATCCTGAAGTCCTAGGCTCAAACCATTCTCCTCCCTCAGTCTCCTGAGTAACTGGGACTATAGGTGCTGCCACCACAGCCAGCTTGATCCCACTTCTTTTTTTATTTGGTGCCAGGGATCAAACCCAGGGACACTTAACCACTGAGCTGCATCTCCAAGCTCCCTTTTTTAAAAATTATTTTTGTATCTATTCTTAGGTGTTGATGGACCTTTATTTTATTCACATACTTATATGCAGTGCTGAGAATCAAACCCAGTGCCTCACACATGCTAGGCGAACAACTCTATCACTGAGCCACATCCCCAGCCCTTTTTTTAATATTTTATCTTGAGATGGGGTTTCGCCAAGTTCCTTAGGGCCTCACTAAGTTGCTAAGCCTGGCTTTGAACTTGCCATCCTCTGGCCTCAGCCTGCGGATCACAGCGGTGTGCCTCCACGCCCAGCTCTGAATGTAGTTCTTAAAACTGGGTTGTTTGCCTGCTTCTCTCAGGTTGGTCTGGGCCAACTGGGAAAGGAGCCTCTTGCCTCATGGGAAGGGCCAGTGTGTTAACCTCTTAGGACTCCTGGAGCAGTTGAGACAGGATGGAGGTGTGATTGATGGGCCTTTCATGGGGAAGTGGGTTTTCCTGTGTAGTGTAGGGTTTCCAGTCCACTGTTGATGACTAGGTTTTCCTGCTCTCTAAAAAGCAATTGTTTCCTGGGTCCAGGCCGACATGATGGATCAGGAAGCAGCCTTTGTGCAGATTCGGGAGGCAAAGACGATGGTGGAGGAAGACCTGCAGAGGAGGCTGGAGGAGTTTGAAGGCGAGCGGGAGCAACTGCAGAAGGTGGCGGATGCAGCAGCCTCTCTGGAGCAGCAGCTGGAGCAGGCAAGTTGTGGCTACCATCCTGGTCCCCAGGCCTACAGAGCCTTGCTCAGACTCGTGAGCACATCCAGCTGCACATAGTGGCTGTGGGGTGGGCACTGACAGCACAGGTTTACATTGGGTAGTCTGTTGAGTGTGTGTGAAGGACCATCACCAGACCATTGCCGCTGCCTGCGCACCGTGTTTGGGCTCTACTTCTGTTCATGTTCTTCAATAGAATTTTCCATAGAAAGGACCCTGCAAGGAGATCACCAGAATTATTTGAGTCCTGACAAGGCAGAGGTGTACATTCTTGGGGCAGGGTGAAGAGAGCCTATCAGGCCTGTCTGCTGCTTTGCAGGTGAAGCTGACTGTGCACCAGCGGGACCAGCAGCTGGCGGCCCTACAGCAGGAACATGTGGAGCTGATGGGGCAGCTCACCACCACACAGGAGGCCCTGCAGGCCCGGGGGCAGGCCCTCGATGACCTGCACACGCGCTACGATGAGTTGCAGGTGCGGCTGGAGGAGCTGCAGGGGGAGGCTGCCTCCAGGGAAGATGAGATCCACTTCCTGCAGAAAGAGAAGATTGTCTTGGAGGTGGCTCTGCAAGCAGCCAGGAGTGGCAAGGAGGATCTGGACCAGGAAGCAAGACGCTTGGAGGAAGGTACCGAAGAGACCTCAGGACGCCTGGAGCAGTTGAGACAAGAGCTGGCTGTGAAGTCCAGCCAGGTAACCCTATCCACTGCTGTCACGTCTTGAGCTGATGGTGACCACCGGGTCCTTTATTTTGTCATATTCTTTCATAAATGTGGGTGAACTATGGAGGAATGCCAGTGGCTTGTGCTCTGCCTGCTCTTGGGCTTGCTGCTGAGCCTGGAGAAACCAGTTGTGGGCAACTGAGTTTCCTTTGGAGCTGTTGAAGGTAGTCTTCCAAGAACCATCAGTTCTGTTGAGATTGTGGACTCAAAGAGAAGCTGCAGGAAACATGGTTTCTGGTAGTGTGTGGAGTGGGGACAGGCAGTGGCGTGACTGACATAGGCCTGGGTCCTCTGCCATGCTATGCTGCTGGGTGAGAGCACAGTCTGGTGAGCAAGACATAAATGGGGTAACTAGTGCTGGGACTGGGGGCAGATGGGAGGAGGATGACCTGGAGGTAAGGTCAGCCTCTGGGTGGCTGTCTTTAGATTAGCTCAGAAGGGTCACAGAGAGGGCTTCACTGGTACCTTTTCCTCAGGGGTGACCAATTTAGAGGGAACATCAGAGATCTTTATTGTCATCTGGTAAAAGGACTCTGCCTGCATTGCTACTGATAGTTGCCCTTGGATGCTCTCGGGTTGTGATGATTTCCCAGAGGTAGCTGGAGGGTACAGGCTGGTGCTGCCAGCACAATGGGAAGCTGTTCTCAAGTCTCATTGCTGACCAAGGGGATCAGAGGCAGTCCAGCTGGGAAACAGAGCTGCCTTCCAGCCACCGAGTGCCCAGCAGCTGGCCATCCCTCCTAGCCTTGTTCAAATGTCACATCCTCAGGCCTCTGAGACAACTCTGTCCACATAGAATTTCAAGGCTTGAGGACTCTGGCTCCCTTTGCCTCCTTTCAGTCTTTCACTGCTTTAGGGTCACAGGCATGTGATGAGTAGGGAGGTGGCATTTCTGAGCAGCAGGGGGATTCCTGGGGAGAAACTCAGAACCACCCATGCCAGGGAAGAGTGGCCCCGCAACCCCTGGGCTTTCAGGGAATGATGTGGACACAGAGCCGCATCCCTGAGCCCATAGCCCCAGACGGGTCTGATGATGTCTGCTGTTTCTGTCACTTGGTAGCCTGGGGAGTCTTCCTGCTGTGTCACATGGCTGCTTCAGGAGCATTTGTTGTGGTGGCTGAGAGTGTAGCCTGGCAGTGGGGTGCTTGCCTGGCATTCCCAACGCTTTGGGCTCCATACTAGCACTGGGCTGGTTTTTGAATCCTGGGACTCTCCATGTGGAGATCTGATAGGGCGGGTCTAGCTCCTGGGAGTGTAGTCCTCACAAGCTCCCGGGCAGTGGGGGTGGGTGAGTAGTGGGTATGTAGGGCCTGGGGACCTTCAGACCCTGCCGTGGACTCACCTGCCACCTGTTTTATAAGTTGAGGCTAACTGGAATAGGCCCTGCTTAGTCCTTTACACACTGTCTGGGGGGTTTTTTGTATGTGCTGCCAGACGAGAGCTGAGAAGCTGTGGCAGACTGTGTTGTGGTAACAAAGCTGACGATGTTTTTTTCTCTCTGGCCACTCCAGGAAAGACCCATAGACACCTAGGCTGCAGCATCCCTTCCCTGCCCCTTCCCTCACCTCCTGCTCCCTTCTCAGCTCCCTCCGTGTCCCTTCACCTATGTGCTCTTAGTGGAAAGGAAGGAGGACACAGGGGCTGAACCCTTGAGCCCTTCTGAGCAGCCCTTGGGCATCATCGGCCTTTGGTTGCAAAGCCAAGGCCTTCTCTGCAGGAGGCTGGCTCCTAGGAAATGCAGCTGGTCACAGGTCCTGGAACCCAGGCCACTCTGCAAATCTGTCCTGCAGGTAGAGACCTTGCAGCAGGAGATGGCCTCCCTGAAGAAGCAGACGCAGAAGGTGAAAGAGCAGTTTCTTCAGCAAAAGGTGAGACTCGGGTCTACTCAGGGGAGACAGGCGTCACCCACAGTTCTTGAGGCCTTTGTGCTTCAGGGCAGGAGGCAGACACCAGGTCCCCTTGCCCTTTTGCAGCTTTTGGCTAGTTCTGTGTGCACTTCCCTCCCCCACTGCAGTCTCTGTGAGGTCAGCCTAGCTCGCAGCAGTGAGGTAGGGGCTGACCTTCACAGGGTGCTTGTGGGGTCTATAACTGCAGCGCTGTCAGGATGCCCCATTACTGTCACTCAGAGAGCCGTGTGTGCTCCGCTGTTACTACCACGTTGCGTTTGCTGTCTTGGATATCTTTGAAAAATTCACACCATAGTCCACCATTAAAACAAGTTATAGTGTACCCAAAAGGCGCAAGACATACACTCTGAGAGCCTATGTCCCCTGCTGGAGGAGCGGCTCTGACTCCACACTTTCTTGCAGAACCAGACACCCCATGGGGTCTGAGAAAGGAAAACCCCTCAAAGCAGTGCCACGAATGGTGTTTCATTTTATTTCTGAGGGGCACACAAGGGATTACCTGTCAGAAGCCAAACAACACAACCAAAGGGAGAACTTTCCAGAGTCCTTGAGGTAGACGAGCTGCCTAGGAAGCCGACAGGATGCCTCAGGTCACCTAGATTTGTCAGGGCTTGGGCATCATCATCTAGTGCTTAAAGCAGTGGTGTGCCTCGGTCAGCAGTGTCTCACCTTGGAGAGTGGGTGCTGCCTTCAGCTCAGAGGAGTTATTACCTATGTAAATGGCAAGTCTTTTTATTTAAGCCAGTTTGACCCTGGAGGAAACCCCACTTGATCGTTGTTATGTGGCTCATGTCTCATCTGGCAGGTGATGGTGGAGGCTTATCGACGAGATGCCAACTCTAAAGACCAGCTTATCAGTGAACTGAAGGCCACAAGGAAGCGGCTGGATGCAGAGATGAAGGAACTGAGGCAGGAGCTCATCAGAGTGCACGGGGAGAAGAAGGCTGTGGAGGTGGAGCACTCTCGCTTGCAGAAGGAGGCCGCCCAGGCCCACCAGCAGATGGCGGGTCTCCAGGGGCACCTTCAGGCAATGCAGAAGGAGCGCGACGAGATGGAGATGCACCTGCAGGTCTGCAGAATGGGCCAGAGGACTTCTGGGGAGTTGTGGAGGTGCAGCTGAATGTGCATTGGGGTGGGGGGTAGCCCAGAGAGGCTTTTGAATACATAGTCTGGAACAGGGTTCCACCTCTAGGAGTCCTTGCTATCATCCTGGTAGGGCAGACAGGTAAGGCTGTCACATGAAGGGGACAGGCAAGGTACACTGCATGAGTCTGGAGGTACCACCTTTGTGATAGGATGTGGGTAGCCATTATCTGAGCTGAGAGCTGCACAAAGTCAGAGGTGGGCAGAAAGATGGGAGGGAGCCCTCATAGAGATCCTGAGTTCTGGCAGGGTGGGGGCCAGAGGCATCATGGAGCTGCCATAACACCTTGGCAGCCATGCTGGGGCAAGCCTAACTGTCTCCTAAGCAAGGGGTGCTGGTGAGCGAGGGTGACTGGGTAGTGGGACAGGTGAGCCTGGAGGCAAGGGTCAATGGGGTGTGGGCTGAGGGCCTCCTATCCAAGTGCAAGCTGGATGAGGCTTCCTGAGATTAGAAGTTGAGAAGAATCATGCTATTGGGGACGTGGTAGGCAGGATGTTAAAGGGCTCCTTTTGTAGATGATGTATCAGAAGGCCCTGAGAGACCAGGGTTCCTGACGTGTCCCTGAAAGGATCACTGTTGAGCTGATGGTGTCTTGTCAGCATCGGGAAGCACAGGTGGAGTGGGGCCTGACCCAGGGCACAGGAGCAGCCTCGGCCAGCCAGGGTCTGGTGGAGGGTGAGATTGGTTGAGGCCAGGATCAGGCCCAGGTCTGGGTGGAACTTGTTCCCTGTGCTGCTATGGCTGAGCCACTCCTGGAAGACTCACTTGCAGAACAGACCAAAAAAGCCAGCAAAAGAGAAGATAGGAAGCCATACAAAGAGCAGGTCCTGGTCAGGTCTGGGGATGGTCCTGGGGGCTTTCCCCACTGTGCCTTGGTGTGCTGGACGTGGCATCCAGGTCCTTGGGCCTGTTGAGCGTCACTTCTCAAAGGCACAGCTGCAGAGCGGCTCTGCACATCTCACATGCCTTCCTCTTCTTGAAGTCCTTGCAGTTCGACAAAGAACAGATGGCTGCTCTGTCGGAGGCCAATGAGGAGCTGAAGAAACAAGTCGAAGAGCTACAGCAAGAGGCCAAGAAGTAAGTCTGCCTTGGTGGCAGTGCCATCCGAGCACAAGGTCCATCCACATGTGGCTGGGGGCCCTGAAGCCTTGGTCTCTTGGGCCGTGGAAAGGCTGCCTAGAGTGTTAGATTCCAAATCTGAAGTCCCACTGTGATTTGGCACTCGCATTTTCTGCAGAGCAATCCCAGAATTTATAAGTAGATTTGCTAAGTCATCCCTAACAAAAGTTCCCCTTTTTAATTGATGATCATTTTTGTGCTACTTGGGGATGGCACCCAAGGCCTTGTGTTTGCTGAGCAGGCACTCTAACCAACTGAGCTACCCCCAGCCTAAAATTTCTCCTCCTGATTTTATTTCTGTTCAACCTTTTGTGCCATGCTCTTGCAGTAGTATCTTCCTTCCTGTTCCCTCCCCCAGGGGTTGTCCTTTGCAGTTGTCCTTTGCACCTTTATGCTCCTGTCACCTAAGCACACAGCCCTCGAGGCAGCCTTTGGGGCCTTCCTGCTCCATGCATGTGCTGTGCCCCATGTCTTTTATCGGCTGGTGGTGTGGCTGGCTGGTGGTATCCATGTGAAATCTTGAATTCCTTGGTGATCTTTGGGAAGGATGTTGGATCTTTTTGGTAGGTGGAGGCTGTGTCTTTGCCCTCACAAGATCATTTTAAAAACCACCTGAGCAGCAGCAGATCTGGTGGTGGTGGATGTGGTTCCCAGCCAGGGAGCTCTTGCCTCTTCTCTGGCTCCACAGGGATATCTGGCACAGGCATTCCTTTCCCTCACTGCACCTGCACCAGGACAGGCATGCGCTTCCCCAGGCCTTTACACAGGAGCCAGGCAGTGGGGTTGAGCTGAGGCAGTGTCTCCTCTCTGGGTCTTGGGGTCTGCTTCCCTGCCTGGCACATGAGGGTGGACTGGAATGCACTTTGCTCACACTTGGTGTGCCAGGAAGTTGGGCAGGCACACTGCCAGCTCAGCTTCCTCCTCTGCCTCTCTGGTGGTGTCCAGGGCCATCACAGAACAGAAGCAGAAGATGAAACGGCTGGGCTCAGACCTGACCAGCGCCCAGAAGGAGATGAAGACCAAGCATAAAGCTTACGAGAACGCCGTGAGCATCCTCAGCCGCCGCTTGCAGGAGGCCCTGGCTGCCAAGGAGTCTGCAGACACAGAGCTGAGCCAGCTCAGAGCTCAGAGCGCTGTTGGCGGCAGTGACCCTACGCTACATGTAGGTAAACACCACACCCCTCCTGCTCAGGGTGCTGAAGACCAAGTGTAGGGAAAGGACGTTTCATAAACATTTTCTCTCTCTAAACCCTCTTGGTCCTGGTCTTTGAACCCAGGGGAGCTTCCCCAGTGGACTGTACTCCCAGCCCTTTTTCCTGTTTTTGTTTTTCTGGGTACCTGCGATTGAACCCAGGGGTGCTTTACCACTGAGCTGCATCTCCAGTTCTTTTTATTTTCTATTTTGGAACAAGGTATGGCTAAGTTGTGGAGAATCTCAGTAAGTAACTGAGACTGGGGTTGAGTTGGTGATCCTCTTACCTCAGCCTCCTAAAGTCACTTGGGATCACAGGTATGTACCACCACACCTGCTGATGCTTTCTATTTGAGACACGGCCTTGTTAGTTGCCCAGACTAGCCTTCCTCTTGTGATCTTCCTGCCTCAGCCTTCAGAGTTGCTGGGATTAGAGGTGGGCGCCACCATGCCTGGCTCTGTAATGGGGTCTTAAAGGTGGTGGTGGTCTCCCACCTGTTCCTCAGCCCAACTCGGTGTTTGCCTCTGCACATTGCTGCAGTTGTGCTTGTGGGGCTGGCCCTGGGTCTCTGCATCCTCTGCCTTCCATCCACCCTAGGGTGGTCCTATAGACCTCCTTGCTGTGTCCTGCTGGAATGGGGCTGCAGGGCACCTGCCAAGCAGGAGCATTGGCCCTTTGGTCTCAGCCCCAGGAGAGCCCCAGCTGTGGGTCCTTTTCTTTACTTACCCAAGATTCCATTTAGGGCTTTCCTACTGGCAGGGGAGGCCCAGCAGCTGGGCAGGTGGAGAGACCACCACCTTCTTTAAGACCCCATTACAGCTGGGGAAGAGCAGGCTCAGGTGATGCAGCCCAGCCGGCCTCCCCCGTTCTGGCCTTCATCCCGGCTGTGGCCTTGGTCCAGCTGCCATTCTCGTCCCCTTCTCTCTATGTGAGCCTGCCTTGCTCACCCCTGCCGACTCCTTCAATCCAGCGGGGGCAAGATGAACGAGTGGAAGGGGTGTGAGGCTCTGGTACCCTATCCACAGGATAAAGCCCTGGACTCTGTTACCCTCCTCCAATATTTTTTCTTCTCACCTGGGCCAGGACTGCACGTAGGCTTGGGAGGGGGAGCAGTTGGGCCAAGGAACCTTGCCCACCAGATCTCACCTCACAGGGGTGGTTTTCAGGGATTCTTTAGAGCAGTGGATTCAAATCTTGCCAGTCGAGAAACTGACAAAAAGTTTCCAAGCAGTACGTGGTTCTCTTCCTCTCTTATTTTTAAAAAGAATACCCCAGAAACATGTTGTATTTGTGTAAATGAGGGTATACCAAAGGGTGGCCAGTTTTGCTTTATAAGCTTGGGAAGAATATTGGTAATTCTACACATACATATACACACACATGCGCGCAAGCATATGTATGTATGTCCCAAGCCAACAATGGGACTTTGTTTTCATTGCAAATAAATATTTTTTTCTTTTAAAACAGAAGAGGGAAGAACTGAAATGTGTAGGTGTGCTGTTGGTGCATGCCTTTAATGACGTGTGTGTAGTATCCCACCTGGCCCTCCTGAAGTGTGTATGGTCTGCGGTATGGACTGTGCATCCAGGAGCCGCAGTGGTTTGGAGACATTCAGCCACTATGGGGGGGAGGGTGGGGGCGGAGGCAGGCCCTGCCCCTGAACTCCCATTGTCTCTGCACTGCCCAGGGCCTGGGAGTAGAGGCACTGACAGAGGAGGCATGGTGACTGGTGCTCACTGGGGCTTGCAGTGAGGTACAAGGGGCCAAGGCCAGTGTCAGCATGGTCCAGGAAAGCTTTTGAGGACAAGGAGGCGCTGGAGGGACAAAGGGGGCATCTTGGGTGGGCAGGTGCAGCGACGGGGGCTATCACAGCTGCTTGGGCTTGGCCTTGCCCATGGTGAAACTCAAGACAACTGTGTGGGGTGTGAGTCCAGTGCTCTCCTGTCCTGGGACAGTGACAGGCAGTGAGTTGGGAAAGTGAGGTGGGCAAGGCTGCAACAGGAAGGCTGGGGGACTCTGCTGCAGGTGCTGAGAGCTGGTGAAAGTAGGCTGAGCACAGAATGGGAAGCAGACTGCTGGGAGCAGCGGGGTGGGTGGGGTTGGGACTATCTGGGGTGAGGGGTGGACAACTGCATTGGGTGGCTAGGAAAGAATCAGAGCTTGAGGTCAGGGTTGAGAAAGCGGAGGCTCAGAAATGAGGGCTGGGCAGGACCAGGTGGGGTGGTGCAGCCAGAGCCTTTGCCTTACTGTAGGATGAACAGGGGCTGTGGCTGGGGGTGGTGGAGGCCCAGGGCCAGAGGGGCATCTTGTGCTCCCAGGAGTGCCCAGCACTCGCTAGCAGGAGACCCGCTCCTGTATTTCCTCCTGGACAGCTTTGATTCTTACTGTCTTTCACTTTTACTAGTAGGTGTTCAATTCTATCTGATTGAATTCCTCTTTGCATTACATTTGATATCTTGTCTTCATCATGACATCTCTTCTTACATGCAGTTTTTCTCCATCTCCCATTGTCCTGTCCACATAAGAGTTTATGAGTAGGAAGTGACTACATCGTAACATGGTGCTTTCTTGGCCAGTTGAATAAAGTAAACATTCCTCCCAGGTACTCTATAAAATATCAAGGGGCGTCTATTCAATCATGCTCCTTTCTGCTATAAAATATGTGTGTCTTTTTAGCCCGTTGGGTCACCTGGTGAGGGCAGCAGGCTCGGGGCTCTCTGGAGGCTTTGGCTAAAGGCAGGCACAGCTAGCAGCTCAGGCTGTGTTCCATCTGCAGCGCCACCACTATTAAGGTGCTGCTTGGGCAGGTTGTGGGTCTTCTGATGCTCAGCATGATGAAGCCAGGGCTGGCACCGTGGCCCCACCTGTAATCCCACCCACTCAGGAGGCTGAGACAGGAGGATCTCAAGTTCAAGCCAGCCTGGGCAACTTAGCAAGACCCTGTCTCAAAATAAAACATAAAAGGGGGATGGGGTGTACCTCAGTGGTAGAGCACAGCAGCCAAAAAAAAAAGAGTCAAAGAGTAAAACCTTCTCCTGAGGTGACTGAGTGACACCCAGAAAGTGCTTGAAACAGTCTGTCACTATGGTGGCTGTAATGCTGGTGCACATGTGTGAGCGCAGGCATGAGTGTGTGAGCAGTGTCTGCAGAGATGTGCATGCATGTGAGCAAGCATATGTGCAGTGTTCTGTTGCACTGAATGCTGCTTACTTGCTATTTGATGATAATTTACAGCCCCTCTTGTGGGTCAGAGTTCTTTCTGTGTTTTCAAAGCATTTAACTCAAAAAGGTTTCTTCATTTATCCTAGTAGTACCTGGGGGTCACTAGTACACGTGCCATGGATAATGGTCTCACATCCTTTCTCGAGAGAGAGGGAAGCATTGTGGGGATGGGATCAGGCCTATGGCCACAAAGCTTCATGCCTGCAGGTGCCGCAGCAAGAGAGAGGGTGAGGGCCTGCCCTGGGCCAGTGATCAACATGCTTTCCCATCTGGCTGTTAGGAGAGGATCCAGGCCCTGGAGGTGGAGCTGCAGAGCGTTGGCCACAGCAAGATGCTGCTGGAGAAGGAGCTGCAGGAGGTGATTGCGACGACCAGCCAAGAGCTAGAGGAGTCCCGGGAGAAGGTGCTGGAGCTGGAGGATGAGGTAACTGCCATGCGTCCTGGACACCGAGCCTCACGTGGCACTTGGTCACTTCCTAACCATGGGCAGAGTAGACTGTTACCAGCACTATGGCAACAGTGACAATGGTTACAGCCACTAATGTGCCCGTAGAGCAGCCATTGGGATAACCACCTCCCAGTTAGAATGCCGGTACCAGGGACTGAACCAGGGGTGCTCCACCACTGAGCCACATCCCTGGCCTTTTTTATTTTTTATTTTGAGTCTGATTAAGGGTCTAAGTTGCTTAGGGCCTAATTTGCTGAGGCTGGCCTTGAACTTGAGCTTCTTCTGCCTCTTCCTGCGAGTCACTGGGATTACAAGTATGTGCCACAGCTGCTGGCGAAGAGTGCGCTTTGCACATTAGAAACCCAACTTAACCTCTCAGATGTCTCAGAACTGAGACAGTCAGGCTCCCATGTCCTGACTGTCTGTACTGTACTGTTGACACTGTCACAGCTGCTTACCTGGCCCATATGTCAGGTAGGGGTTGTCAGTTTCTGGGGCTGGGTGCTTTGTTTAAGCATCCTGTCCTGTCCTGAAATGAGTGTGGCTACAGCTAGCTTGGTTCTATGCCACATGCCGAATGCCTTGGCCTGGGCTGAGGCAATGGCCAGACCAACTTCTGGAAGCCTGTGGTACCAGGAGAGCAGTGGCCACTGAGCCTCTTGGGTCATGAGCCAAGGGAAGGTTGTCCTGTTTCCATACTGGCCCTTCCTGTCGAAATTGTGGTGTGTGCCATGATTCCATCCAGCAGAGCTTGTCATTGCACAGTTACTCTGATGTGTTTCAGCTTCAAGAGTCCAGAGGTTTCAGACGGAAGATAAAGCGCCTTGAAGAATCAAATAAGAAGCTGGCTCTTGAGTTAGAGCACGAGAGAGGGAAGCTCACAGGCCTCGGACAATCCAATGCTGCTTTGCGGGAACACAACAGCATCTTAGAGACAGCTCTGGCCAAGAGGGAGGCCGACTTGGTCCAGCTGAATCTCCAGGTATTCACACTCATCTGCCAGGACGGAATGAGGGCTGCTGTGGGCTGCGTACACTCAGTGCCCTGCTGTATCAGATCATTATAGTTCCTCCAGGAGAGGCACAGCATCTATCAGGGAGGAGGGAACAGGCTTAGAGAATTTGGTTATTCCATGGCTTGAGTCCCTAGTCAGTGTGCAGCTTCACAGGTTCTGTGAGGGGGCTGTGAGGTCAGGCAAAGCGGTTTTCAGCTGTGAACGGTAATGTGTGTGGTGGACACTACCTGAAGTCCTAATGTGTGTGGTGGACACTACCTGAAGTCCTCGTGGGATTCAGAGCAGGATACCTGGAGCCCTGGCTGCATCTTGCTGCAGACCTTGTTCTTGGCTTCAGTTACATAGCGGCTGTGGGAATTGCAGCAGTGTCTAGGTGTCTCAGGGAAGTCTTCACAATGGCTGCTCAGGGCCACAGTGCCCCAGCCTTTGAGCATATAGTGTTTGGGGAGTTTGGTGACATGCATTCTGCCCTGGCCTCATCCCTCCATTCTTACTTTGCTTTCTTACATTTGTGTTTGTAGCCTGATTTCTGTGGCCTTTGTGGTACCCACCAATCTTGAATGTGACCAAGTAACCATACTCCTGTGATTTCAGATTTCTGCCTTTGTAGCAGTGTTCTCCAGAGGTGGGCTTCTCTCTCCTCTTCTGACTAGTGCCCTCTCTGGTGAGGCACTGTGGCTGTGGTGTGTGTGCTCGCTATAAGGGGCCCCATGCTTCATCACAGGTTATGTAGGTGTTGGGATTCCTGAGACATCTGTCTATCCCTATGCACTTCAACCTAGGTACAGGCAGTTCTGCAGCGGAAAGAAGAGGAGGATCGCCAGATGAAGCAGCTCGTCCAGGCTTTACAAATCTCCTTAGAGAAGGAGAAGGTGGAGGTGAACAGCCTCAAGCAGCAGGTATGTGGCCATGTCCAACTGCTTTCAAATTTGTAGAACCTTCAGCTCTTTCAGTGCCAGATAGTCACCTGGGTGCCCTTTATATCTAAGCTTCTCTTCCAGAACTTTGCTGTAGGGAGAAGAGTTGTCATCACAGTGTTGTAATAGGCTACAGAGGACCTGGCATTGTCAGCAGAAGAGGGTGTCAGATTAAGTGACCATATGGTGTAGCCTGGGCCATATGTACATATGTGCCGCAGTCTGTCTGGCTGCAGCAAAATAACCGGGGGGTGACGAATAACTTGTGTATGTTGATACAGCAGGAGTGGGAGCCGTTTATTGCAGGACAGGAGCAGTATTTATACATTCCACAGAGCTTATCTAATTAGCATAAACTAGATACATCAGTCAACCAATCAGGAATCTCCACACTTAATGGCTTGCTTTTGTTACTTCTCAAACCACTCCCTCTGGCATTTTGCCAGGCACCATCCAGACTTGTTTAGGAACTCTAACATTCCCCTGGCAAAATGCCAGGTGTTATTTTGACTTGTTTACAGACTCTAACACATATGCATGTTCATCTTTACTAGAAAAAGTTGTTATTTTGTAGACGAGTTTCAAAAGCATACTTCCTGTTGGTGTTAAGGAGCAGACGGAAACATGTTTGCATCTGACCTTTTTATGCAGAGAGACAGCTTCTTGTGGCTGGCTCCTTCTCCTGCTCTGTGTGTTTGCTGATGTGTCAGGTGAATTCCGTCTCAGCAGTGGCATGTCCTGACCACTATTTGCTCCACCATAGGCCTATTGGTGCTCACCTTTCTCTGCTGTTAGAATGTGCACTTCCTGGCAGTGCCCCAGTGCACATCTTCTCCCCCACCACTCTCTCTCTTTTTTTTTTTTTTTTTTTTTGCAGTGCTGAGGATGGAACCCCAGGTCTAGCACATGCTAGGCAAGCACTGTGTTTCTGAGCTACACCCCCAACCTAACACAAGTGCATCTCAATGCTTACATACCAGAGGGAGTACTTGGGAAGAACTGTCTTTATCTCTGGAAAAATGTGGGAAGGGACACATTACTTTTCCTTTGAACTTTGAATTGCAGCCGTGTTTGGTAGTATGTGTCTGTTATCCCATCTATTCAGGAGACTGAGGCAGGAAGATCTCAAGTTCCAGGCCAGCCTGGGTAACTTAGTGAGACCCTGTCTCAAAATAAAAAGTGAAAAGGGATGGAACTTAGCTCATTGGTAGAGCTAAGAGTCGTGTTCCACGACTAAACACTTGGGGTCATTCCAGGTAAACAAAGCTGCATGAAATAACCACACAGAGACAGAGAAATACCTTTTTCTTTGGGTCCTGTGATGGCTCCTCTGACCTTAGGGGTCCATGCAAAGAGAGAGAGGAGCATTTGCCGAACCCTTTTATTAGGAAGAAGCCATTCAAATGAGGTAGGATTACAAGGGAACCCGTGAGTGTAGCTCAACCCTTCTGGGTGCCGCCTACACCTAGGGCCACTCCCAGGGCTACACCTCATTATCCCAGTGAGGGAAAAGACTGAGTCAGGAGCCATGGCACTACTGCACCAGACTACAGTGATCTTTCAGATCCCCGTGGTGCATCAGGACTTAAAGATGAGTGCATTTGGAGTGGCTCCCCAAATATAGCCCCCTGGGTTCAATCCCCAGTGCCACAATCGATCAATCAATCAATCGGTCAATAAATAGAAAGAAATTCATAATAAAAATACTGGGGGAAATGATATATGCAGGCTTCAATTTCTTTTTCTTTGGTACCAGGGATTGAACCCAGGGGTGCTTTACCACTGAGCCACATGCCACATCCCTAGCCCTTTTATTTTTTATTTTGAGACACGATCTTGCTAAGTTGCTGATCTGACCTTGAACTTGGGATCCTTCTGCCTCAGCTTCCCAAGTCACTGGGATTACAGGCATGTGCCACTATGCCCAGCTATTACAAATGCTTTTGTTAAATTTTATTTTAAAATAAAGTACTTGGTAGGACAATTAGACAAGAAAATTAAAGTATTAGGAAAAATATAAATGTTTGTGATACTTATACTTATCTTTTTGGAAATATTGAGAGAATTTATTTTAACAGCAGTGAGATTTCAGAAAGGAGACTAGTTACATCATAAATAGAATTAACAGCCTGTTAGAGGGTATAATGCAAAAGTAGATTGCTCTCAGAATGCACAAGCTGTCGATAAACTCAACTAGAAACATGCAGATATGCTGGAAGAATTTGGAAACTGTTTAGACTACGGGAACCATGAATAGACCTGTAAATTTGATAGGCACTAGCAACCACTTCTGATGCACTCCCCCGTGCTGAGCATTGGGACAGGGGATTGGTGGGGCTTCAGTGCTGGTGCTTGGGCACCATTGAGCCTTGGGTGTCCTATCCAGAAAAAGGTATTTCTCTGTCTCTGTGTGTTTATTTCATCATTATAACATCAGCTTCCTGCCTCCTTCCAGGTGGCTGCTGCCAGGGCAGAAGCTGGACACAACCGCCGCCACTTCAAGGCGGCCGCTTTGGAGCTGAGCGAAGTGAAGAAGGAGCTGCAAGCCAAGGAGCACCTTGTGCGTACGCTGCAGGCTGAGGCCGACGAGCTCCAGTGAGTGCCAGGGCCTGGGGAGGGCCAGCACTGCCAGTTGGGGACCATGTGCGTGCAGTGCATCCTGAGCAGGCAGAGCTGTGTGAACCCCTTCCAGGTCTCTAGTTCATACCCACATGGGGAGACTCCTGCCTGCTACCAAATTGCTGAGTACTGAGGGGCCAGTCCCAGTGGCCTGACCCCCTCTGAGAAAGCCCAGGCTTCACTGTGGTTGCCTCACTCCTTCCTGCCTTGCTTGACCTTCCCAAGACAGAAGCTGCCCAGGGCAAAGACTCACCCCTGGGACTGTGCCCTGGACACTGAGAGGATCACTGATCTCACTAGTGCAGCACAGTCAGACACGTAGAGGGTCTGGCTGTGCCATGCCCAGAGCTGCGCACGCACACACACACGAGCAGCTCTAGAGGTCCCTCTCACTGGATCTTGGAATGGTCACTCAGCACCATAATATGAATTGTATGAACAATGCATGTCTCTTGGAGGACTTTGCAGGGTTGGCCAAGGCACCCAGTCATCCATTGTCTCTGGGGAGCAGTCTGGGTCTCACCAGGATGGCCATAATCCACAGGCTTCATTTTAGAATGGGGTGGCAAGTTGGGAGGATGCTGACATTTCATTCTTACCTTTTTTTAATGCCAGGATTCGGGAGGGGAAACATTCCCAGGAAATAGCACAGTTCCAGGCAGAGCTGGCAGAGGCCCGGACTCAGCTTCAGCTCCTGCAGAAGCAGCTGGACATGCAGCTCAGCCAGGAGCCCACAGGGAGCCAAGAGGTGAGAGCTGGGCCCTATCTGCTTGGAGAATAATTTTTTTTCCCTAAATATGATATTAAAAGATGTGCAGAAACCAGGTGCAGGGGTGCACACCTGTAATCCCTGCGATTTGGGAGGCCAAGGCAAGAGGATTGCGAGTTTAAAGCCAGCCTAGGCAACTAAGTGAGACCCTGTTTAAAAATAAAATAAAGGGTGGGAATGTAACTCAGTGGTAGAATGTCCCTGGGTTCAATCCCCAGCACCACCAAAAACAGAAGAATGCCTCTTTAACGTTTTCTTGATCATGTGACTTTTTTCCACTTTAGATGGAAAATCTCAAATGGGAGTTGGATCAGAAAGAGCGGGAAATCCAGTCCTTGAAGCAGCAGCTGGACTTGACAGAGCAACAGGGCAGGAAGGAGCTGGAAGGAACACAGCAGTCATTGCAGGTGACCATCCCCAGACTCTAGGGGGCAGTTGCTGCAGGTGGCTATCATGCAGGTGGACTGCGGGCTCTGGAGTTTGAGAGTATGCAGGGTGTGATCATCACTAGATCCTTCACAGCCTGGAGAACTGGAGAGGGAACTGCTGGGCTGGAAACATCCTGTGATTCACTGTGTAAAAGTCAGGCCCTCACCAGCCCATTGGTGCATGCTTACAATCCCAGCAACCTGGGAGGCTGAGGCAGGAGGATTTCAAGTTTAGCAAGGCCCTGTCTCAGAACAAGTCCTGACTTGAACCCGGAGGTACACTTCCTGACTCAGAGGAAGTGTACCTCCGGGTTCAATCACTAGTACCAAAAAAGAAAAAAGAAGAGTCCTTCGGAACTGACATAGAAACAGATCTTAGCAATGTTTAATCATTCCCTTTTCTGAATCCAAATCTACTTTTCTAGAATATCAAGTCTGAGTTGGAGACGGTGCAGGAAGACCTGTCCATGACCCAGAAGGATAAATTTATGCTTCAAGCCAAAGTGTCGGAACTGAAGAGCAACATGAAGACTCTGCTTCAGCAGAACCAGCAGCTGCAGCTGGACCTCCGGCACCGTGTGGCCAAGGTGGTATCCAGGCCCACCACCTTTCAGGCTGACTGACTATGCCCGAGGTTTTCCTGAGCGAGAGGCTGGCAGACTTTCTAGGCACGCACACATGGCCACTACATGAGATGATATGGGGCAGCTGCTAGGGCAGAGTCCTAGTTTGGTGCCTTTTCCAGTAGAATGTTGGCTTTTCCAAAATTCAAATTCCTTTTGCACTCCATCTTCGGGAGTTGTCATAGGGGCAGGGGCAGAGAATTCTCTCAGGCATCATTTGCTATCTGTGGAAAAGTTTTGGGTTTAGAGAGTCTGAGCAGCTGGGAAATGTACCTGATTTCCTAGGGAAGCCCAGTGTCGAGGCTGTGGGTTTAGGGGATGCTCTTGAATGAGGCTCTAGGGTCCAGTGGGTCCTCCCAAGGGTCTGGGCTCAGGTTGTTTGCGTTTAGTGTGTGCATTCGGAATTGAGCTGTTTACCAGCCAACTTCTTCAACTCCTGTGATAGTCGTGCTGTGCTGATGCGAAGGCTAGGACAGTCTCCTTTCTGGGGTCTTCTGTCATGTGGGGGTCTTCTGGCTCCTGTTGTGACAGCAGTAACTGATGGGGGGTGGACACGGGGAAACTAATGACATGTTTTTCATGAACAGAGGAAGGAGCCAAAAGGTGAGGCCAACTCCCCAGGCCCTGCAACACCCATCAGGATCCCAGACTGCCCCGTCCCAGCCTCGCTGCTGGAGGAGCTGCTGCGGCCTCCACCCGCCGTGAGCAAGGAGCCCCTCAAGAACCTCAACAGCTGTCTGCAGCAGCTCAAGTACGGTCCACATTCTGTGCTTTTAAAACAAATGGCTTGTCTGGCTGGAGGAGCTCTTCGTGCCACAGGGCGTGCCCACAGTGGGGGGCAAGCTTGCTCACAGGAAGGCCCTCACGCCACACCAGGCCAACGCTGCTCAGAGCAGACTGCTCTGACCAGCCTTTGGAGTGTGAGACCACACATATTGTGCCTGTGCACTGTGGGTTGAGCCTCCTGACTCAGGACAGCAGAGGCCAGCGTCGCAGAGCACAGCCACCTGGGAGACCTCATAGGTGATACTGGGGGTGCAAGTCACACTGCACTGGCCTTGGGGGACAGCTTCCACACAGCAACTTGGCTGGCCTCGGGCACTTAGGTCTCTGTTTCACATGGTCCCAGTGGAGGTAGGGCTCTCCCTGAAGCAGACACCTAAGCTAGACAGTATGCTGGTCTCCACACAGAACAGAGAACAATGCTGAGAGCCCTGACCTATGACTGCAGCTGATTTTGTGGGACTGTGATAGAGATCCACTGTCATGCAGACACGGGGGATCCTACTACCACACCTGAGCTTGGTAGGGGCTGTGAGTGTTGGCTCCTGCTTGGCCCTCATGTGACCTGGGTTTCTCATGCTTCCTCCCATCTCCCCAGGCAGGAGATGGACAGTCTGCAGCGCCAGATGGAGGAGCACACCTTCACTGTGCACGAGTCCCTGTCCTCTTGGACGCAGGTGGAAGGCCCCGCAGGAGAGCAGGTGAACCCCAGGGCAAACCCAAGGCAACAAGGTGGAAGCCGGGCTCCCCAAGGAGGACTGGACCAGTGACTGCACAGTGCTCACACCATGTGTACACAGCTGCTCCAAGGAACGCTCTTGCATTAGTGCTACTCCTTTGATGGTGTGCTCTGCATTTTCTGAGAGTGAAATTTGAGTTTTGCTTTTGCCTTTGATGAAGAGTGAAACAACAGAAGGAGAGTTGAGGATTAGAGGAGTAGTCGTTTGAAATCACAAATGGCTTCCCACGAAGTAGCCAGACCTCAGGCCTGGCTTCGGGCTCAATGAGGACTTGTATCTGTCTGACAGGTTATTTGCAGAAGGGGGCATCTTTGATTGACAGGGATGCTGCTCGTGGAGGGCCATGCCAGCAGCCAGCCCCTGCAGAGACTGTTCAGTAGGATCCTCGGGCAGCACATCCGGGCAGGCTGGGTGCGATTCTCACTGTCCTGTCCACTTAATAAGAGCTCTCCTTTTCTGCAGAATGAATTTTTATTTGCACCTTTGGATTTTTATTTCATTTTTTTCAATAGCCATCCCACAATAGGATGTACATAGAAATACTGAAAATCATAACCTTTTAAAAGCATATGCCTATATTATTTAAGAAGAATCTAATTGTCTTTTTATTGATTGCCTTTTGAAAAATTACTGTTGGAAAATAATGTACACGTAGGATGTAGGGATATCAGAAAATTATATTTTAAGAAGCATAGTTATTTTATTTACTCTACCTTCTAAAACCAAACATTCTTGCCCAGAGGAGGCTCCTTGTTCTAATTTTACTTTTTCCTGAGGGTTTTTGCTTCCTGCCCATGGTCTTCCTAAGTTTGTGACATAGGCCTGTCAGGTGCTGGCCCTGTGTGGGCCCACCCACTTTGGCTGACCACTGGGCTGGAGCAGGTGGGACCCTCAGTCAAGCCCAGTGGTCCTAACAATCCCCAGGGGAAGAGGGCCTAACGTGTGTGGGTCACAGGCTTCTTGCTGTGCCCCCCACACCATGGTCATCAGGAGGCGCTGGTGTTGCCAGTGTCACCTGGTCAGAGGCCATGTCTGGAAGAGACATGGTGCCAGGGGAAGGCAGCTGTGGTCTCTTGAGGAATAGGAGGTTCAGAGACAAGTGCCTCTTCCCTGTGGCACGTTTTCCACCTAGAGGCAGTGCTGTATATGCCAGCTGACTGGGAGAGTCCAGGTCTTTGTTTCTCCCTCAGTTGCTAGGAAAATCTAAAAATAGTATTTATTGTTTCAAGGTAGGAAGGAGAAAAAGAGGGGAGGTCCAGGTGACCCTCGTTCAGATCTGCCAGTCTACAGGTGAAGTTCTGTGGCAGGGACCCACCTAGGCTCTCTGTGTCAGCAGGGTATTGGTGTCCTGGAGAGAACAACATGGAGTTTCCAAGCAGTTTGTGGTATGTTGTTAGAAGGTTGATTGATACGGTTAAAGTGGCATCACCATAAAGATGTGTGGCTTTTAAAAAAGTATTCCCTAGCAAATATTAGAACTTGTAAAATGTATATATCATCTGTACAGGGTTAATCTTGAAATGATACTTGAAAATTTCATTTTAAGTATATTTTATTTCTTAAGTTAGAAATTGTTTCTGACTAAATTGTTCTTGCATCATTAGAAAAGAAAAATGGAAGTTTATGTTCTTATTTATTTTGGCTGTTATCTTTTGTCTAATCTGAGGCAGGACACGTCCCTGGACTCACTGGGTGGCATGGCTGCCTTCTCCCTCTGTCTCAGCAGTCTCTGCACAAGCTCCCATTTTTTCCTCCTAAGAGAGGATGTGCTCGTGGCCACCACTGGGCCCCATGTCTGTCCCCCTCCCTTGCTTGGCATTCCTGGGCCTCACCTACCCTAGCTATCACTGCCCCGTGTGGGGCCCTGGCCAGCACTTCTGGGTTCCACCAAGGACCTGGCCTGTCTTGGCTCAGCCTGTGTCCTCAGTGGCCAGTGCAGCTGTGGCTTGAGGCTCATGCTGGAGCTGCCACTGCCCTTACGTTCTTTGAGGTTTTCTCGCTGCTGTTTTGGAAGGTTGAAGGCACTTTTCTGTCTCCAGGGGATCCCAGTTGGAACGAATGTTCCTCTGGGTGAAGTGCAAGTGATGGGTCTGGGTCTGGAGTGTGGTTCTGCCAGGGTGGCTGTTGTCTGCATGGTGTTCGCCCTGTCCTGTTGCACGGAGCCATGGTACGTAGTTCAGGATGCCATTGCCTGGATTGCAGTGGGTCTCTGTTGATCTTTTTCTATGGTACCCATCAGATTGATGCCCCACACATCTTGCAGATTTATATGGCTTCGTTCCTCTTTAGAAGATGTTTTGATAGATGGCAGCTGACTACCCAGGCCTGTGTCAGGGAGAGGGGCAGCCTATGGGCAGCCTCTGTGCTGGGATCGGGAAGCTTGTGGCTTGCCCTCTGTGGAAGGCTTATTCTCTGCAAAAGCCACAGCCTACAACATTACCATGGCACAGATTCCTATTTACATTTTTTTTTTTTTAAACAAAAACTATCAAGTGTCAAGGTTCTGGGAATGAAAGGGACCAGCGTATCTGAAAGGGAAGAGTACTGGAGCCTTCCTACCAAGGACCCAGCAACGTCGATGCCTGTGGTGTGGGATCTTGGGCCTCATGCTAACAAGATCTCATTCTGTGGTGGTCTCAGGTTCTGATCAGATTCTTGAGGGTCCGTGTTTTAGAGGATCTAGGAAGTTCGTTGTTCACTGCCTTCTGCTGTTCCCTCATTTCTCATTCAGAGTTAGTCATTTCTATAAAAAAATCTTCTCACAAAAGGAGTCACTAGCTGGGGGCTGTTTGTGTGAAAGGTGTCACTGTGTGCAACAGATTGTAACTTTAAAAAGCATGTTGATTTTTTTTTTATAATATAAGCGTGCTTGGGAATTCCTTAAATTTTGTGCAATAAACTATTTTTGGTAAAGGTTTTCATATTTTATCAAGGGCATCATTGTGATATTTACATTTTGTCATTTGGGAGTGACTTTGTCATCTCTGTTGTCACACCCTGTTGTGTGTTAAGGAAATGCTGTTCTGCCGAGTTTATGGCAGGACGTGGAGTCTGGCTCCTTGTTGTTGCTGTGGATCTGCACTTGACCGGCCATCACATGGGCCGGGAGAGAAGGGGGCACGTGAGGCCACAGCTGGAGCATCTGCCTGAGGCTTCCTGGCCAGGTTTTTTTTTTTTTTTTTTCCTTTCTGAGATGTATTTCTTTAAAATAAGTCATACAAATGGTTACAGTCACAAACATGATTTTAACCAAAGTATTGCTAGCCTACCACATCAGCAGGACAGCGCAACACGGGCAGAACTTCAACGCCGCCTTCCCCAGTCAGTGCAGGGAGCTCCTGGCGCCCCTTCCTCTGAGCTGCTTGAGATGCCGTCTCCATTTCGAATAAGGGGGTTTATGCCAAAATCAGGAAAAGAGCTGTTGTTTTTCTGAATCATTCTAAAAATAAGACAAGCAGGGAGAAAAGACAGTGCACTGTGCCACATGAAGGAAACAGGAAGGACCCAAGTCCTGAGAAGGGGCTCCAGCGTCCAGCAGAGGGAGCTGAAGACTGTACACAGACAAGACGTCCATGATAGAATTAACTACTTACTTTTGCTCAAAAGGACCGCAAAGGACACAGGACAGTGAGCCAGCCCATGGGACAGGACAACTACAGTCAACACGGGAGGCTGCACTGCCTTTCGCCCTGCCTATACCTGGGCCAGTCTCTGGGGCGCCAGGGCCCTGGGCACTTCTCGGCACACTCCTGGCTGAGGTGCAAGACGCCTTGAGGCTCACCGCTCCCGGCAGACTACAGCTGGTCTCTGTCCACCTTGAGCATGACAATTTGCTGGCCAGAGTCCTGCACGCCAGCTGCAGCTCTACCAGGTGGTCCCCGAGAACACGGGTCATGACACTCCCATCTCAGCACTGTGGCTCTCCAGTGTCTTTTTTTTTTTTGTACTGGGAATCGAACCCAGGGGCACTCGACCACTGAGCACACCCGCAGCCCTATTTTGTATTTTATGTAGAGACAAGGTCTCACTGAGTTGCTAAGTGCCTCCCATTGCTAAGGCTGGCTTTGAACTTTCCATCCTCCTGCCTCAGCCTTCCCAGCCTCATGCGTGACATACCTTGCTCCCCAGTCTCTCTCGTCTTTTTCGTTCCTTTCCTTTCTGTACTAGGATTGAACCCAGGGGTGCTCTACCACTGGGGCACATCCCCAGGCTTTTTTTTTTTTTTTTTAAGATAGGTTCCCACTAAATTGGCCAGGCTGGCCTGGAACTCTCCATCCTACCTCTGCCTCCCAAGTAGCTAGGACTATGCCACCATGATTGTCCCACCCTTTATTTGAGGTCTGCTGACTGCAGTGCTGCAGTCTAACAATGCCCTGGCCACCTTTTCTGCCTTAACTTCTTTAGGCATTGAGGTTGCACTGTTTCTGTATGCAGTGACCATGAGGGGTTTTATGTTTTCAGAACTATTTCCAGCTGTATAAAAAGTTGGTAAGTGTTTGCAGGCACAGAACTAGCTGGCATATTAATCTTTGTTAAATAGCTGCTCTGTGCTCCAGTCTCTTACAGTCAGGATGTGGGAGTGGACTTTGGTGGGACTTACTTTGGTGGGCTTTGCGGGGGACTGTCAGGGATGACCACACCCTACCTGCGTACAGCTGCCACCCAGTTAATCCTTATCAGTGGATTAATCTGCCGATTGGTTCACCCTAAAATCTAATCATTTCACCTCTGGAAATTCTTGCTTGCCTCACTTAAGAGCTTTTGGGGGATTCTTCACATCTAACCTGTAATGACAAATGACGCAGACTCTGAGTAAGTGTGCTTTGACAAAGTCCTTCCTCCTGGAAACAGTGGGGTGGTGTTAACTGTGTTGTCAAGAGCTGGGGTGCAGCTCAGTAAGAGCACTCTCTTGGCCTGGATTCAGTCTCTAATACCAGGCATTTTTCCTTTAAACTGTTGACAAGCCATCTGTGCTATTCTTTGTCTTGCTGTCCAGGGGGCCCAAATGCACACTGTCTCCATCCCCACAATCCTTAGGATGGAGCAGACTCAAGCCTGGCCCACCACACTCTGGCCAGTGACTGCAGGCCATCTGCATTTCCATGCTCCATCTGCAGCTAAAGTTAGGCCTGAAGATGGTGCCTCCAGGAGCCTGAGAGTGGGGGGATCTGGAGCATTGGCCCCTCTCTGAAGACAGAGCTGTGTGTGGTGGCGGGGCAGCTTAGCAGGCTGAGCCAAAGACTCTCCCATTTAGTCCTCCTCCACCTGGTATTGCAGCAAGTGGCTTGTGGCTTTCTCACACATAATCTCTGCAATGTCACCTTCACAGCAGAATAGTTTTGAGTGTCACATCTGAATACCCTCAAGTGTGGCAGAGTTCTGTCAAGGGACAGACAGTCCATAGGGAGGTGTGTTTGTGTGTTCAAAGGTCTCTTCTGAGACCTTTGAACACACAAACACAGAGGTTTCCAGAGACTTGCATGGGGTCCTGGGTTGGAGCTCTACCACTGGGCTACTTCCCCAGTCCTTCTTTCTTTGAGAGAGGGTCTTGTTCAGTTGCCCTGCTGGCCTCCTGCTGCAGCCTCCCAAGCAACAGAGATGACAGGTGTGCACCACCCAGCATGCAGACTGGACAGACCAAGGTGCTTTTCCCCAGTACTTGGATGCCTCACCTTCATCCAACCCGCAGAGCGCTTCCTTTGGCCTCCATGTGTGGGACAGGTGCTCTAGCACCTGCAGGACCCACCTTAGCATTTTGGGCCCTGCTTCAGTGCGTCATTTCCTTGGCTCTGTGTGCCTGCCAGTCTTACCACAAGATGTGAGAAATCCAGCTAATGTAAAGAATGCTGAAAGTGAGAGAGGGAGGTGTCACTGGATGTTCCCGGATCCAGGGCTTATTCCAAAGCAGCCCCCTACCTCCCGTGGATTAATACTGCTTTGCCTCACCTGCCTCAGTTTATCATGAGGGTTAAATTGGAATATATATCTTTGGCTTATAAAGCATAAACCCTGGGGCTGTGACGGGTCACTGGAAGTTCTTGGTGAGGCTCAGTCCACGGCTGCACTATGCTTACCTGGGCCATTTCCTCTGATGGTGCCAGCCTCCCTGAGTCTGCTCTGAGGTCACATCATGAAGGGAAGTTGCCTCAGGAGCATTCTTCCCCATGATGTCTCCACAGCTGGCTCTGGGCCAGCCTTCAGGTCCATCTGTGTGGCATGCACAGCCCCCATGGGCCTTTCCAGGGCACTTCTCGGGGCCTCCCCAAGTCCTCAGCCATGTCTGGGCCAAGGAGGCAGCTCCTGCCTCCCAGCACAGCCCCTCACCAAGGTCTTCACGCGCCACTAGGACACACAGGACCTCTGCCCCGTCCCATCAGGGACAAAGTGAAGCAGGAGTTCAGAAAACTATCACCAAGAAAGAGAGAAGTACCTCAAACCGCTCCTCCAAGGCTGCCATTCTTCCAGGCTTCATCTGCTCAGCCGTAGGAATCCAGCGCCACCTGGTGGGCAAATCCTCTCCCTCCTGCCTCATGGTAGATGGAGGCCAGCAGCAGAGCTGCTTACCTGGGGGTCTGACTCCTTCTGTTAACTGCACGTAGGTGGCACTGGGTGGGAGTGAGGAGACGGTGCCATCAGGACCCCATCATGACAGTACAGTCAGAAACCCCAAACTCAAGTGACTGAAATGAGACACTGGTCTTGCCGGTGGCAGGTCAAGCGTAAGAAAACTGATGAGGGAGGCTTCACAGCTCTGGGGAGGAGGACCACTGTCGGCTCTCAGGCACGGCTGTTGTGAAGCGTGGGCACGAGACCCTGGCTCTCCTGTTGCATGGAGCAGCCTAGGAGCTGGGCACTGCTTGCATCTGCTCCTTCCTGTGGCAGCACTTCTTGTAGAGGACATCTCTTCACCGTGGCTTATTCTCGCAACGGTTCTCTCGGCACTCCAGGAACCCTGGGTGACTGGGAGACCTCTGCCCCACTGAGAGGCCTGTGTGTAGATACAAGCTGGCAGCCGGGCTCCAGCAATGACAGCTTCACAGGACAGAGGCTCTGTGGCCAGGGCATGGCACATGCTGCCTCACCTCCAAGACAGGTACTCATTCCTGCTTCACAGGAATCGAGTTTGTCACCTAAATTCACCCAGAAGGCAGGTGATCTGGCTAGGCCTGGTTGGCCAGGCCTGGTGCTGTCACAAAGGCTGAATGGTAAATGTTGGGGACAGCCACGCTCACGGTACCATGCTCCCCAACTTAGGGTGGGGTTACCTGCTGCCTGATGAACTACTGTAAGTTGAAGATAAGTTGGAAATGCACTCAACACACCTACCCCCAGCACCACTGCCCAGCCATGCAGCACACGCCCTAAGCCAGTGCTGGCTGAGAGCTGTCCTGCCGCTGCCGGCACTAGGAGGTTTTCTTGGAAAGCTGGCCACTTCATACCACGGGAAAGCTAAGAGGGTGTTACAGTGGGCATGTCGATGCACACCTGTGGTTCTAGCCACGCCCAGGCTGAAACTGGGAGATCTCCAGCTACAGCCCCTTCAGCAGCTCAGCAAGGTTGTGTCCAAAGAGTAAGGCTGGGGGTGTAGCTCAGTGGTGGAGCACCCCTGGGATGGATCCCTAGTACCACAACAGAACACAAAAGGGCATAGTACCAAATGGTAAGGCTTCATCTAACGTCATTCTGTAAAAAATGTTGGCATAAACCAAAAACCACCTTTCAGTATGTGGTTTTATGAGTCTGACAAATGTGTGCCATGGTGCCATAAACCCTAACAAGTGGCCCAAGGCTCCAGTCAGCACCCCACTGGGGCCAACTGCTGTCCTGAGGCTCACCACCATAAGCTCTGCCTATGCCTGCACTACCTTGCGGTCCTACACTAACAAGACAACTTCGAATCTGTCTACCCATGGATGACATTTGGGGTGTTCCCAGTTTTGAGGCTATTAGAATAACTTCACTATGGACATTTTCAAATGACCCTCTGTTAATTTCCATTTTCACTCCTGAGTAAGTTCCTAGGGCTGCACTGTTGAGCCACAGGGAGGTGGTCTTGGTTCCTTGGGTGGGGGGCTAGGGACTGTAACAAAGTGCTCTAAGGTGTGTGGCTTATAGACAATGGGAAACTTCTCAGTTCCTTTGGCTCGAAGTCCAATATCAAGACACCTGTAGACGCAGGATGCGTAAGGGCTGGGAAAGGCTAGGGGTCTTAGGCTCCTCTTCTAAGGGCTGTAATCCTATTTATGGGGGGCTCTGCCCTAGGATGGGATCACCTCCACTGGCCTCACATCCTGATACTATTACCTTGGGAGTTAGGGTTTCAACACATTAAGTTTGGAGGACATGAACATTCAGACAAGGGCAGAGTGACATCTGCAAAGTGGTTATCTCACTTTACACTCCCACTAGCAGTGTCTGAGAGTTGCAAACCTTCTACATTCCTCGTAAAATTTGATATTGTCATTCTCTTAATTTTAGCTATTCTTGAAGGTATAAAGCAGTATCCATTGTGTGTGTGTGTGTGTTTGGCAATACTGGGAATTAAATCCAGAGATACTTTACCACTGTGCTACATCTACAGCTTTAAGACTTTTTACTTTTTCATTTTGAGACTCTTACTGAATTGCCCAGGCTAGCCTCAAACTTTGGATCCATCTGCCTGAGCCTGAGTGGCTGGAATTACAGATATGTGACAGACACTTGATTTCATTGTGATTTTAAATCACATTTCATTCTTTTCAAATTTACTAACCCTTTCTTCTTTGTTGTTCGATCAACTGTTAATACCATCCAGTCATTTTTTTTCTTTAATCTGTGTGTGTGTGTGCACGCCCGAGTTATTGAACCCAGGGGTTCATTCTAAGCTTCATCCCCAGGGCACCCCCCATCAACTGTTGTTTTGAGACAGTATCTTGTTAAGTGCTGAGGCTGGCCTTGAACTTGTCATCCTCCTGCCTCAACCGACCCAGTTGCTGGAATTACAAGTGTGCATCACAGTGCCTAGCTCAGATTTTTTTTTAAATCAAGGACATCAATTATATCTTAAAATTTTCCATTAAACACATATATGCTGGGTGTGGTGGTACACGCCTGTAATTCCAGCTATTTAGGAGGCTGAGACAGGAGGATTTCAAGTTCAAGGCCAGCCTTAGCAGCTTAGCAAGATCCTGCCTCAAAAATACATATATATTATGAATATATATATATATATTTCATTATATTATTTTTATATATATACAGTTTATTATATTTATATATATATATATATATATATATATATATATATATATATATATATGAATGAACTAGGGATAAAGCGCCCCTGTGTTGAATCCCCCAGTAACACAGGCACAAAAAGTTACTATATAAATCTCGTACACACCTGACGGGTTTGAGAAGGGCAGGGCCCAGAAGCGCCGACCACAAGGGGCGGGACTGCGGGGGGGACGGCGGCGCGGGACGGGGCTGCGGAGGGGCGCGGCTGCCGGGAGGAGAGGGACGGCAGAACGGGACCGCTCGCGGCTGTCCACACCTTGTGGCCTCAGGGACACCGGGCTAGTTCCTGTTCAGCCGTGAGATGGGCCAGGCACGTCCTGCACGGCTGTCGTTGAAACCGCACCTGTCCCTCGTGCGTGGCCACTTGCCCTCTCCTTCTGGCTCGTCCCGCCTGGCAGCCCGCCTTGACTCTCCGGGTCCCAGTCCCCTCCCCTCCGCTCCCGGACACTCGCCTGCCCTCAGGTCAGGCTTCTCCGACGCCGGCTCTGGCGCTCCTGAAACTTGCACCCGGACCACTGGAGCAGCCGGGGTTGAGGCGCACCCCGGCGGCCGCCCTGGGCGTTGCGCCCGACCCCGCCCAGCCGAGCGTTGCTGCGAGTCAGGTCCCCGCGGCCGCCCGCGACGCTGCCTGAGCTGCTGCCTAAGCCACTGCCTGAGTCAGGCCCCGCGGCCGCCAGGAGCCGGGGCCGCTAGCCAGCCCCAATCTGCCCCGAGCGGGAGCCGCCGGATTGCGAGGGGCCCCCGTCCCTCTCCCCTGGGGGAGCGCGGCGCAGGCGGGGCGCGGGCAGCCGGGGGCCTGACTCGGCGCGGCGCCGCCGGGCGCTAAGGAGGTGCCGCAGGACCCGCGCGGCTCGGCCGGGCGGCGGCGATGCTGTGGCCCCGGCTAGCGGCAGCCGAGTGGGCGGCGCTGGCCTGGGAGCTGCTGGGTGCCTCGGTGCTGCTCCTCGCGGTGCGCTGGCTGGTGCGACGGCTGGAGAAGCGGCCGAGGGGCCTGGGCCGCGGCGGGACTCCGACCCCGCCGCCCTGCGCGGCCCCGGCCCCTGGAGCAGGTAAGGCGTAGTTGCCGGTGGGACCGCGGCCGTCGCCAGGCGGGCGGGGCGGCCGCTGGCCCCCAAGAGTTGCGGGCTGGAGCTGAAGGAGGTTGCGGGAGCGGGGCGGGGCTGCGCGGCGGGAGGCCGGCGCCACACGGCCTGGGGCTCCGCGGCAGGCTAGGGGAGTGGAGCTCGGCGCGGCGCCTGGAAGTGCCCGAGCTGAGGGCATCGGGAGACGTCGAAGAGCAGAGCTGGCGGGTCGCGGCGGCGCGGGGCTCCTGCGCGGGTGAGGGCGTGCCCGGCGCACCCCGGGCGGGCGGCGAGGTGGGAAGTGGGGGGCTTCGTCAGCGAGGTTCGGTGAGAGCTGGGTGGGCACAGCTCCGGTTCTCAGCCCGGTATTGCGCGGGAAGATCTGGAGAGACCTGGAGTCCCCAGTGCGTGCACAGTGGATCGGCTGTAAGGCTGGAGTTCTCGCAGGCTGCCCCAGCGGATTTGGGAGTTTCTTAGCGGAACCCCAGGTGGCCCTCTTTTCGCTGCCGCCTGCCTCCTCTACTGCAGTCCACTGCTTGCCAGGCGGTGCGTCCTTCATTCATCAGGGGACGTGTTTTATTTACACACACAGACCCGCCCCGCAAAGTCTGACATCTTCCCGAAGTTGTTTAAGTACCCTGATAGGGGATACTTGGCAGTAAACGGCTGATGACGGGCCACTTTAGTCCTCAGCGCTGAAGGGATGTTGAGGGGTTATTTTATTTCTCACATACTGGATTTGCAGCTGAAGAAAGGCTCCAGGAGGGTCAGGATACTGCTGAGCAGCAGCCTGATGGGATGTAGGCCTGTGGACACTGGGCTCTGTGCCTTCCATCCTGTCGAATTTTACCTTCTCTCAGCCCCTTAAGGAAGTATCAGGGGCATCTTTTATAAGTGGAACCCTGATTTGTCCATTTACACTCAATATTGCCACAAACTCTGAACAGGACACAGATTGGTAACCAGACGCTGAAGAAAACCCCATGTGTTGCTAGTAGGGTATAGAGCTGAGAGGTGGGAGTCTGAATGTCTTTTTTTTAAATTAATTTTAAAAATTGGGTGGCAGAAGTTGGGCAGGCACAGTAGTGTACATTTGAAATCCCAGCAACTGGATAGACTGAGGCAGGAGGCTAACAAGTTCAAAGATTTGTGTTGTTTTTAAAACTTTGTTTAAATTTGAAATTATATCAAGTGTATAAAAGATTATAGAAATAGTACACACCAACTTAACTCTTGTGAAAAGATGTTCAGTATTGCCAGCTGGTAGGGAAATATGAGTTAAATCTGAAATGCAATATCACTACACACATACTGAAATGGCTAAAATAAAAAATATAGGTACTTCCAAAATGGCAGAGGTGTTAAGAAGCTGGGTCCCATATGCTGCTGTTGGAGTATTCAGTAGTACCATCCCTGTAGGGATCAGACTGGCAGTTTCTCCCATTTGTCCTAGATAATCGAAAGCTTATTTTCACATAAAAATCCATATGCAATTTGTAATTGCCCAAGACCAGAAATGACCCACATGTCCTTCAAAGGGTAAATGGTTTAATAAACTAGCATGTTCACATCAGGGGTGTGCCTTAGCAGGGCCCGTGGCATGATCTGTGTTGGCCTCAGAGGTGTTGTACTGAGTAAGGCCACTCAGAAGGTCTTTCCCAAATGATTTATGTAACATTCTTAAAGTGCACTACTCAGAGTGATAGAGAAGAGGTTGGTTGCCAGATCCTAGGACAATGGGCAAGATTGAATGTCACCAAAAGGTGCAGGAGAGTGATCTTTGGTGATTGTGGGATAAGTTCTCATGGTGGTAGGTACACAAATCTGTACATGTGATAGGCAAGTGTCAGCCTTGGAGAAATGTGAGTAAGGGGTCCTCAGGATCTTTCTGTATGATTTTTGTAACTTCTTATGGGTCTATAATTATTTGAAAATAAAAAGTGGAAGTAACTGTGCACACTATTCAATTTGATTCCCTAAATGTTAGTATCTTGGATGACCACATACGAGTATGAAAACCAGGAAATTAACATTGATGGATCACTATCATCCAGTCTACAGATCTAACTCAATTTCTCATGTCTTTGTCTAAGACCAGTGAGGTCATACTGCTTCATCCAATTCCAATGTAGCAGCACTGAGTTGTTCTAGCCAAGGGTCAGCAACCTGTGGCCTCCACCTGTCTTGTGAGTAAAGAGTCCTTGGAGCATAGTCCTGCCCTTTCCTTTACTTGTCACCTGTGGCTGTTCTTGAGTGCTGGAGAGGCTCTCTGGCTAGCAAAGTCTTGGGTGCCTTCTCACGGGCCCTTCCAGGAGTGGTTTACTGACCCCTTCCTTTCTCTGTCAGTGAGAAGTCCGCCTCTCATTAGCCGCAGTCTGTGCCCAAGTACACATAAAGTAGCTTCACAATGCTGCTCTACACTACTGGGGAACCCCCAGCTGACTGGATTGTATGATTGCTGAAGTGCTGCTTGTCTTTAAAGGTCACCATGCTGTCTTCAAGAGTCACTTGGGTTGGTTCTCCCTACTCTCACATTATCCATTTGCAGTGTTAGCTTTGTTTGGTTTGTGTTCTGTGTGAGCATCTCTGTCATCTTTTCATTTGGTTACTTGAGTGTGGGAATCCCAGACGTGTTTCCAAAAGTTAAAACTTTTCTTCCACTTGGTTCCCCCACCTTATAGGTAGCCAGTTTCTGAGTTTCTCTATACACAGGAGCAGACCCTTATGTCTCCTAGTAGGAATAATCTATCACTGTCAGACCCAGTGGGACAGACTTTGTGTGCAGTACTGTATGTTCTCCTTATAGCCTGAGGATAGAGCCATCCTCACCATTTTGTTGGTGAGGAAGCTGAGGCTAAGTGTTGGCATGACCTGCCCAGGCTCCCAGCAGGAGGTTTCAGGAGGGGTTCAGTCCTGTGGTGAGGCTTGCCTGCCTACAGAGAACAGATCTCCCTCAGACTACCAGCCCAAGCTGAGAAGGTGGCTTTAGAGTAAGGACACATTTTGTGGAAAGTGGGACCTGCTCTGCCCAGCAGGTTGACTTGTTATTTTGGACTTAGGTGACGTGACAATGGATGCTGTTTTGGCTCGGTTAAAACTCCTGAGTCCAGATGACCTCAGAGAAGAAGTCTTCAGAGCTGGATTGAAATGTGGCCCCATTACAGCAACCACAAGGTTCATTTTTGAAAAGAAATTGGCTCAGGCTTTACTAGATCAAGGTGGAGTGCTGCCTGCCTCTCTTTCCAACCTCAGGGAGACAGCTGTAGCTCTCAGCCAGGACACACAGAGGACTCTGCCGTCTGCTGAAGGAAACCTGACTGTGCAGGCCAGTTTTTCTGAAGACAGAGATTTTAATTACAGTGTGGGCTTGAATTCGCCAGAGGAGGAAGCTGTGGCATCCAAGGCACGCCCAGAGCCCCTAGGTGCCTCCCTCAGGAGTGACACCCACCAGGCTGGAGCAACGCCCTCTAAGGAGCCATCCCTGTACTATGGAGTGTGCCCAGTGTATGAGGACGGCCCAGTGAGAAATGGTAATGGGGCCGTCGGATGGGGTGCCCTGAAAATTCAAAGTTACAGATTAAAAAAACTGTCCAACCTTTTTAGTTTAGATCTTTAATATTGAAATTCATGTTTTGGTACAGTGTAGTATCATAAGATATGAAGTTACATAATAGATATACAATAATATCGTGCTTTGTACAGATATATATAATCAAATTTATTAATGTGGTTCTCTTTGCTAGCTGAGGCGCTCTTGCAAGCTTAAAAATCTGAACTGTGAGAGTAAAATCAGGAGACTGGGTAACACTGTTTGAGTCGACAGT